AATGGGGTGCAGATACCGTCGTCTGTAAAAGAGAAAACACGATAGAACCTGGCTGCTTGTGGACCCTTTAGCGCCGGCCCCAACGGGCGATAAGCCTATGGGAGATTATTATTATTATTATATTCTTCTATAATATTCCTACCATTCCTGTTAAAACAGGTAATGGTTTTTGACTGAATTTCTCGATAATACACTCGGTTTTGTAATTTTCAATGATAAACTTATTTTATTTATTATTTTTTCGCCTCACAACATACTTTTTATTCAACTTTGTAAAAAAATACTTGGATTACATGTATCCAGAAAGCAAACAGCAAATGGCAGAAATCTTAATATCGTTTTTAGCAAGCTAGATAGAAGGAAATTGGCACTAGTGAACATAAATTGAATGTAAACGTAAGCTTCTTTAAATTTTAATCTGCCTAGGTGAATAATGATACGTTGACGAAACGCAAAGCAATTTACAAGAAAGTATTGGTTGTAAAATTGACATCGCAAAGTATTTGTTTGACTTTAAAAATATGATTTTAACGAATATTACAGCTGCTATTATTGTCTTCTATAATTACATCAAATTCGAATCTTTATTTTAGTCTTTGTTGCTTTGAAATATTCAATTAATAAAAAAATATGTTCAATAGTAATTACACAAATTTAATAGGCAAACGAATGAACACTTATTTGAAAGATCTTTAACGAATATTTATGAGAAGAAACTAAAAAATACGATATTCAGTTCTTTTCATTGTGAGTATCGTACTTTATTCTACACATTGTCATCAGCTTTTTTTGTGTTATTTAATGATGATACAAATTGAATAACAATTCTTTACGTATTGCAAGTACCGAATGATACGCGAGTATCCAAAGTATTTCAATAATATTTATCAAAACATGTTAGACTTTGAATGAGTTTTGTTCTATTCATAAATAAAAAGAAAAAAGAAGTTAGGAGTTAGAATAAATGAAATGAAAGTATCAAGATCGAACTTGAGAAATCTTTTTTCTAATTTTTAATCGGACGTTTCGATCGCCTAAAAATATCGCTCGAAAATGACGATTTTGAAAGGTTTTTATTGTTTCAAGGCTTTAAAATAATTAAATGACATCATCAACAGATGCTAGTTTATATTGAATTCAAGTTAATGAATCATAGAGATAATGAAATATTGACAGAGACATCTAACATAATAAATGTATTGACCATTTTAAAATTTTGATTCGATTGTTTTGTTTTGCGAAGCATAGCATTTCTGTAGTTCGTCGCGAATTCTTCTTTTCTTTTACTTTCTCGAAGTACGCATCACATCTTGTCGTTTTGTTGTGCAATGATCTCGAGAACCGAAAATCATAGAAAAGTCATTGAAACGGGAAATGAAAGTATTAAGAAGGAACTTTTAACATTCGTTTTCGAAACTTCAATTTGAAGTTCCGTTCACTCACAAATGTCGTTCTAAAATGACGAAAATGAAAGAAATTTGTGCTTTCTAAGTTTACGATAATTAATCGACCAATCGAAATCGACCCTTAAGAATGTATCGCTAAGTAAGACAAGAGTTTTCTCAGTGATGAATTTCATCATGACAACATAAAAAGTATTCAAGATTTCTCTGAATTGAAGATTTTTCGTGAAGATCCGATTCGAGCTTCGTATCGCATTCGTATTCGAGTTTTACTCGAATACCATCTAGTTTATCTTTGCATTTTCCCTTGTGCTTGAAACTAACAGCCTCGAGATACGTCAACCATATCTTTGATTAAATTTTACAACGAATGAACCATACATTTTATTTGAAAAAAACAACATATTTGACAACATAAAAAGTGCAGCAAGAAACACATTGATATACAACAATTCGAATATAGATCATTTAAATAAAAATTTAAATTTAATTAAATATCGTAATCGAACTTGTTTGGCATCATAAACAATAAATTCATTGTAATTCAATGAATAGCCTTTCGCGCTGTGTGCTGTTGCTGCTTCACCGGGACCCATTGGCACAGTAATATCACCACTACTATTTATAACAAAAAAAAACAATATTTCTTTTATTTTTCGCACAAAACAAGCAAACTTACAATTTAACTTCATTCTTTGCACTCGGTGCAACAGATCCAAGTGCTTTCACACTGGAACAACCTGTAGGTAATTTATGTGCATTACTATCAGAATGAAATAATTCATTCCATTTGCCAAGAGCAACCTAAGTAATCGAACCGTGACGATCATACGGACTACAATAAAAACTTACTTCAGAAAGAAGTAGAAGGCCCACATTTTTATTTCGATCCGGATAACAATAATTAGCACTTTTGCTACTCATATCAGCGAAATATAAACCTTTGCCAAACATATAACCAGTCTATATTATTTTTGAAAAACGAATTAAAATTCTTAGACGAATTTTTTTTATTACTTACAACAGGTGCTTCGGGCGGTGCGATACGTAGACCTTGACTCATGATACCGGCAAAATTAGTTAAGCGAGATCCATGCCTTAAAACGACCGAATAGTAGAGTTCAGATGTCCGGACTTAAATTTAACTTACCACAGAAGCATTTTGTTGCCGACATTATTGAATGAATCTTTTTCGCCTTCTCTATCAACTTCAAAAACATCTTCAATTTGCATCTTATAGAGTTGATGTGTTGCTGCGTGTGTTGATTGAAGATAGTCGTCAATTAATTTATAAACCTCATCTGTCTTATTGATTGGATTCAATTCACATTTTAATTTTTCATACTGTTGATCAATTGGATTGAGATTATTGTTTTCATTCGTAGTCAAAGAATTAAATACAACTTCAATATCGTCAAGTGCTTCGAGTAATTCCATTTCGTGTTTTATTTGTTTACTTGTTTTTATTAACGGTGGAGTATGTCGACCGAATTCATGTGGAACTAAAGAAAAAAAAGATTCATTCAAGTGTAAAATAAAAAGATGGAGATCGTACTTCTTGTATAATACGTATTATTGGCTTCGACAAAAGCCGCATTGAAATTATTTGTATCGATAAAAGATTCGATCTCTTTTAATGCGGCATAGCCAGCTTTAATTTGTACAGAACTAAGTTTACCTGAAATGATAAAGATGATTAAATGAAATAGCGAATGAATTTCGTTGTACCAAGAGGATTCTTTTTGGCATCGAATTTCATTTCGAGTAGTGCTTCTTCCATTAAACGTATATTACAAACTAATTCAATCAGATCTTGAACGCGTTTGTCAAGTTTCGATTCTGGTATGGGCCGACTTTTAAGTTCTTCGAGAGCTGCTTCACGTTTTTTCTTGTTTTCTTCACTTTCATCGCTAGTTTTAGAAGTCTGCAAGAACAAAATCAGGTAAAATAAAATGGGGAAAATTCGATTTACCGTCGGATTATAATCAAGTTTAACATAATCATATTTTCCGGAATATTTCGTAAATGTATCACGATGATAAAAGTCATTTTTTGTTTTCTCACTGAATCTATGTAGAAAATGAATGGTATTACTCAAGCTTTCAAAAGACGGATACCATCTTCCCATTACTCATGAGATCGTATCGCCTTCTCAATTATGATTACTATTTACTTTTGACAGAAGCATCGTTTGGCATTGGCTAAATCTGCGCCGAAGTTTTCCAAAGATACTTGTCCGGTATAACCCACACGACCCCTAAATGAAAAATACACATAAATAATTGGTCAATTGAACATTTTAATCTTACCAACGTAACCAAACATGATAACTTTTACTCTTGTTATCTTCGAGAAGTTGAATCAAATAAAATTTATTATTATTATTTCCAATATTTGTCTAACGTGAAACAAGTAGATTTACACTCGACAAAAATCAATGGGTCTTACTTGATTTAGCATACAATCAAATATATCTTTATTTTCGGTATAAACATGAGCTTTTCCCAGTAGATTTTTACATTCAGCATCAACAGGGGCTTGTCCGGCTATTGTTGTTACTGTTCGTACTGCACAAAAAGAACAAAAAAACATATTTATAACGAAAAAACTGGCGATGCCATTATTTACCCGAGCTTTTCTCTGAGCCAGATGATGCTGATACTGCACGTTTTTTAGGCGTACTTTCACTGGGTTCTTCATCGTTTTCTAATGTACGTTTGGTCGATGTTTTTGGAATAGTCGATGGTATTTTCGCCACTAAATAAAGACGAATTTAATATAAAACAGAGGAAAATTTAAAACAACGAACTTGATTTAACGCGATGGATTTTTCGAGTGACTTTAGTGCTTGTATTTGTTTGAATTAATTTCTTCAGATCAATATCATAGGATCGATTTTGACAAGTAACGGATAAACTTGTTTGATCAGCAACAATTGCATCAGCAATTTTAATCATAACATCAACCGAATAGGCTTCCCATTTCTTATTTTGATCTTGCCATTCATAACCATAGAATCCATTTTCATCTTTCAATTCAAGGCAAACACGAATCCGACGCATAAATTTTGTTTTCTTATTTACTTGTACCATATCGTCAAATTTAATTGTCATACTCATCTCATCAGATACTTTAATATCAACCTACGAACAATGTTTACGATAAATAAAAGAAAAGAAAAAAATGTATCTCTTACTTCTTTGTTTCCAGCATCGAATGCTTGAGATATTTCCTGTTGAATACTAATTTCATATTGTTGCCAAATACCTTTGTCACCTTCCCATTCCCATTGGCCATTATGACCGGATACAATAACAGTAGTGCTGCTACTTGCCATATTCTATTTGGAACTAAATAAGACTCTAACAGCACAAATACGTTTTTGTTCTCCCTATTTATCAATACTCTAACCGCAAAATAGTAATTGACAACTGATGGTGCAAGAAAAATAATACTATTATTGGCTAGAACGTCGGTTTGGCAGTGCTCGTATACGAACGACATCTTCGAGTTTAAAAAAATAGGGAATATTTTTCCATTGAAAATTGAACTCATGACAACACACAATCGATATCGGTTCACTGTGATTGCTCAAAAAGAGAATAAATGGTATCTTAGATACCTCCAGCGAATAAGCAATTCACATGAATAGAATGATTAAGAATACATTCTCCTAAATACCAAGATTTTCTCTTGTATAGAAAAAAATCATCCACTCTCAATAGATATCTAAGTTGACCATAGAAAAGTACACGAACTCATTGAATGAGAATTTATGAGAACATCACATTCCTTCTGATTTCACTGCAAAGATCAAAACGATAAAATAGTATTTTCTTACTGCAGATATTCTATTAATGACTGATAATAATATTGAACCTTCTGATCCATTACGACAAATATTTCGAAGTCAAAGTGCTGTAAGAACGATAACTATAGAATTTCCTTTTGTTTTCACTATTGCACTTTATCGATTAGGTCCCGAGACCTCGTACTACAGCGCGTAGTAAATATTATGATTATTTGAAGAAATTACAAGAAAAAAATAAAATCAGTAAAGAATATCGTGATCAACATAAATCAAATGATGATTATTTAAAACAACGTGAAAGTGGTTTTCAATTGTATGTAAACGGAGTTCATAATGCTCCACCTCGTCGAGCATCTTCTGCGATGCGTAACAGAATCGATGATTCATCTAATCGAACTCAAACGCCGGCACTGTTCCTATCAAATTTTACATCTCCGACTTTATCAAAAACACCTAATCGATCAAATTCACGTCGTCGTCATTGGATATCAACAGCACAAACAACAATTAAAACTGGCGACGGTTCCATAGTAGCTGATATTAATTCTCAACATAAAATTGAATTTGATCCAAGCCAACGGCAATCTCCTGCTACTAACAATCAAACCACCTATCGGCTAAAATCATCAGTCAGCGTCGATCAAAGTTGGATGCCGGATTGGTTCAAAAATAATAATAATAAATCACCTGTAAAATCAAATGAAGATGACAGTCTTTGTAAGTGTTAAACCATGCTGAGAATTTTTTGTTGAAAAAAAAGTTCTCTTTTTTTCTTCTATAGCTTTATCTCTTGATGATATACCAACGGGCACTCAACAACAAACCTATCGTCTACCGACAGCGGTTGGTAGGTAAGGTTATTCTATTACTTCTCTATCTTCATTGTAATATAATGGAACACAATCAGAAAAAAAATAAGGAGTTCTCTGGGTTTTTTTTTCTTTCCTGTCGCTCACGATCGTTACGCATTGAAGAAGGCATCTTGACAACGTTGATCAAAAATAAGAAAGAACGGCACACAATGGTGATTTTTTTTCTAGCATCTATTTTTCTTTATTAATTGTCAAACAAACGAATATTATTTAACCAGAAATGAGTCGTCGAGATATACCGAAAGTTCCCGCCACTGGAAGATACAACGTGCCAAGACCGGGAGAAATACGACCGGGTAATAATACGATTAAAAAAAACATAATAATATTCTATCATTTAATTGTTGAATAACTCACTCCATAATCAGTAAAAAACATGCGCGTCGAAAAAATGTAACTTGTTGTTTTCGTTATAAATTCTATTAGTTTTCACCTCTCTTAAAAATCTGTAAAGATACAATCCTATTTATTATTAAAATATTAAAGCACTCAAATGCAGTACTTACATTTTTCAAGAACTTGAAATTAATTCTTATAATTAAAAATATTTAATTATTATCTAAATAGGAGCCCGTCTTGCTGGAGGCGATTTGATGAAGAGTAGTAGTACACATGCAACTGGCCAACGCTCGCATACGAGTGGACCCTCAAAAACTGTTGACAGTCTTGATCTGGAAAATTTTTTACAGCCAAAGTAAGTTTTATGCATACGAAGATTGCAATTTTCTTGATTATTTTTCTTTTCAGAGAAGTTCATATTGGATCTGATAGTAACGATCAAAAATCTTCACACCCACAACAATCGTCAAATAAACGAAATCCGTTTCGAGATAATGCTTCTAATGGTATGGTGACATTTAATTTTTGTTTTTGTTTTTACCATTGAAAATAATTAGATCGTCCAGCAGATTGGCTTGAAAGATCAATTACTCAAATTGATCTCTTCAGTCGACGGCATCGTGGAATGCTTGAAAGTATGAAACAACAATTTTTTTAATTAACTCATGCATTATTCTTTTCACTAGATGAACAAGCTGACGAATATTTGCCAAGCGGAGCAGCAAAGCCCGATAATGAAAATGACGAAGAACAGTAAAAGAAACAAAATAAATCTTAATTATCTTATCTACTGAAACAACTTCTCTAGATTTTCTATTCCTGAATTACCTCATGGCGAACAATTAGTTTTCACTTTGAAAACAACTTGGGGCGATCGTCACTATGTTGGTTTAAATGGTATTGAAATTTTTTCTGCAGAAGGTCATCCAATAGCAATTAAAAAGGTAACGCACAATTTCTATTGTATTCAGTTTATAGAAAGAAAAAAGCTTTCTCAATAGATCGCAGCAGATCCACCCGATATAAATATTCTACCTGAATATGGTAATGATCCACGCGTAGTAAAAAATCTTATTGATGGAGTAAATAAAACTCGCGATGATATTCATATGTGGCTTGCACCATTTACAGCTGGGAAAAATCATTTTATTTATATTACATTTGAACATCCAACTAGAATTGCCATGATTAGAATATGGGTAAGATTTCTAACTGTTTGATCTCAAAAGATACGGGTGAATTCATTCTCAGTCTAAATTATTTATTCAATCATGTTCTCAACTTTAAAGAATTTCCGGTTCGTATGCTTCGTGTCCTTTGCATTTTCCCACAATTATAGCCTACGATACGTATACTTTTTCTAAATAAGAAACCAGTCGACTATTCATGTTTTTATAATCGTTTGTATTTGGTACCGGTTTTTTGTTATAGCTGCCTCAGACTGTCTCTCTGTATTTATTTTTCCTTCCTTAGAATTACAATAAAAATCGTATTCACTCAACACGTGGTGCAAAAGATGTAGATATATTACTCGATGGTCGCGTCATCTTCAAAGGAGAAATTAGTCAAGCTTGCGGAAATATTATTGCTACTAACGATCCATCATCTTATGGAGAAGTTTGTAAAAATATTTTTTTGTTCATATAGAAAATCGATTTTTATTTTTCATCTAGACTATTTTATTTACGACTGACGATCATATTCTTGAAAAAATATCAACTTATGATGAGATGTATGTCGATCAAGAAACGACTCAAGACGATGATGAAAATATGAAAACAGCTACGAACCAATCGATCATGAAGGGAACTGATGTAGGTTTAGTTTCGATACAAACTATTTCGTTGTAAGGAAGTTATTTGTTTAAATAGGTTCGACCAATGACACGTGCTACGTTACGGCGCCCTTTTACAGCGATGCGTTCATCAGCTAGTAATCAAGTAGCGGAATTTTACGGGAAAAGTATATTGGTTTTTTTCCGAATTTTTAAATCACATGAATCGATTTTTAGAATTAATTTTAACCATAACAGAAACATGGGGCTACGAAGATTTTTGTGGTTTAACTGGTGTGGAAGTTGTAGATGTTAACGATGCTGACTGTGTTATACAATCATTCGATGCTCGTCCTCGTGACATAACTGTACTTCCGGATTGTAAAAATGATGTTCAAACACTTGATAAGTAATAGAAAAAAAGCGCCTTGATTTTATTTTAAATTATTATTCTAGATTATTCGATGGTGAGAATCTGACATGTAGCGACAATCATATGTGGCTGTGTCCATTCAATAAGAAGGATAAAGTTCGAATTATAATAACATTAAGCGTATCGAAAAGGTTGCATGGCTTACGCATATGGAATTATAATAAATCATCCGAAGATACTTATCGAGGGGTTTGTGTTTTTTGTGAAGAGAGAACCAAAAGTTGATATTCATTTAATTAGATTAAACGACTTCATGTACAATTAAATGATAAAATCATTTCACCGCGACAAGGCTTTCTATTACGGCGTGCCCCTGGTCACTGTTATTTTGATTTTGTACAAGAAATTGTATTTGCTCACGGAAAAGCCATGAGTGAAGACGATCAGCGACGCAAACAAAACAAGTAGGAACATACTTCCATGTATAGCATACGAAGATTTACTCTGTATTGCAGGGAAACATCAGGCAGTAGTCGTGATGGTGCTTCAGATATTTCAATGCCAAATGGATGTAAGTTATTTATAGTAACGGATAAGGTGTAGGTAGAGTAAACTAGTGTTTCTATTAATCTAATCGGATAAAAATGAATTTTCATTTGTATGGTCATTGTGATTTTCTCGCGTGATAGTTTGTGTAGTACACAGCCACGAGGCCCGAACGGTTTTGTTTTTACACACATCCGAAGTATTACTCTTTTTCGAATAAATCCGATTCAGCAGTGAGAAAAAAATTCGTAGGAAAGTTTTGATTCTTTTCTTTTTTAGTTATCTATGAATTTCAACTCCATTCAACACATGGTGATGCTTATTATATCGGACTGAATGGTTTAGAATTCTATAATGAAAACGGTGAACAGATTGGTTTAGTTGAGCAAAGTAATTGATTTTGATGCACGGAAAACAAAACGGAAGTTCTTTTATTAATAGATATTGCTGCGTGTCCACATAGTGTAAATACACTCAATCCAGGTACGGACGATGATGTTCGTACACCTGACAAGTTAATCGACGGTGAAAATAATGATGCCGATGGTACACATTCTTGGGTTGCACCTATTTTACCAAATGTGGTATGTAGATCGGCTAAAATATGAAGCCAAACCAAAAAAGGAAATACATTATTTCTTATTTAAGATCAATCGAGTTTTTGTTATATTCGATCGGCCGACATCTGTATCTATGATAAAAATATGGAATTACGCTAAAACACCCAATCGTGGTGTGCGAGAATTTTCTGTATGTAAATTTGTTTCGAATGATAAAATAAAATAAAATAATATTTTGATTTCTTAGTTACTTGTCGACGATTTACTTGTTTGGACCGGTATATTAGATAAAATGAGTGATAACGAAAAACATAAACAACAAGTACCCTTTAATACGATTCTATTTTCCGACGAAACGATGCTTACAGATCATGAAAAGCAAACAGTTTTAGAGTAAATATTTTCGAATTTACTTTCTTTCAGGTCTCAGTACATTTTTTTCCTTCTCTAGAAATAAAACGTCATCTGATAATGCATCCGGTCATATATCAAATAAACACGAAGCTGTTGATTACTGTAAGTAATTATTTGATTAGAATAGCTACTGTTAATTGAGGCTAAACTATCTACCAAACATCTGGAAAGACATTTGACTTTCACCAGGATTCCGCAATCTTTCTTGCAAGATCATTTGAGAATAATTTGTAACATCTTTATTTGTTTTTTAGCCAAACGACCAACGACCTCAGTTCCACGAATGCAAAGAAAGCGCTAAAAACGAAACATTTTTGTCGTTCGTCAGATTTTTGTTTCTATAATTCGCACTAAATTTTCTTTATTATGTAAAATTAAATTAAACGGACACAAAAAAATGAAAATTATTAAATACTGTTCTCATCACCACCATAATTTCATAGATAGAAGAAGAGAAAAGTCACATGAGTTTTAACTTCACTGGGATGAAATCTGACCCGGAAGAAAAATAATGAAAATTTTGTATTCACTTATTTGATGCAATGGGTTTTGAGGAAAGAAATGAAGCAGACGTTGGCATCATATAACCACGTGGTCGAACCAAATAGGTTGTCATGTTACCTTTACCTTTGACATATATTGATCCACGACATTCGCATGGATATCCATGTTCGAATAAAACTTTTTGAGTTTCTTCCGGTACCTGTGTAATGATGATTGAAAATAATGAATAGATCAATTCTTTTTTTTTTGACTTACATGAATGCAGCTAACAACACCAGTGCTATCCATACGCGATGCAACATTAACTGTATTTCCCCAAATATCATATTGAGGTTTTTTGGCACCAACAATACCTGAAAAAAGATTCATGTTGATTAAAAGCACAAGATACATCTTAAAATGTTCTGTCTATAGACTGCTAAAGTTAAGTATTGAATTTTTTCGAAAGGTAAATCGCTCAAACGTATTTTTTTATGGGAGACGATTATTCAATTACCAGCAACAAGAGGACCATTGCACATGCCAACACGCAATTTGAAATCATTGAAACAATCCCGATTAATTCCTTCAAGTACTGCAATCATAGCAAAAGCAAATTCCGCAAGTGCAACAACATTTTGATTATATCGTTCTCTAGTCTAAATTAAAAAGAACAACCCTAAATTCAAATTCATATAAACAAATCTTTTATTCGTACCATCCTATGTTCGGCACCCGGATTGAGACCAGCAGCTGCCATGTACGTACTACCAATAGTTTTTATTTTCTCAACACAACTAAATTTGTTCTTATCCAATAACTAAATAAAATCGAATATTAACAAAAAAAAAACAAATCTTGTATTTCTCATAACAAACTTTATCGAATTCTGCAATGATTTCATTGAGTAACCTTAAACATTCTAAACCATCATTATTAGCATCGGATTGAACATAGAATTCTTTAAAATCCGGTATGGATGCAAACATAACAACCACATTATCATAACTTTCATGATATAAACCCTAGAAGCATAAAAATAAACGAATAAATCAACATAATTTCCTATTGCCCGTTAGTCGGTAGAGGGCGCTGGTGTTCATTTGTAATTCGACATTCATTTCAGAATTATCAATTATTACCTGACTCATATTTTCTTTGAGAATTATTTCAGCCACATGTTTCGGTAGAATATTTTCTAATAAAAGTCGACTAATAGTGCTCACGGTTTCTGCTTCATGTTGTTCGTGTTGAAATTTAACTGTCCATAGCAGATCTAATCGACTCATATATTCAATCTAAATACGAGAAAAAAAAGTGTAATGACTATTTGTTTTTTGCTGATTGAATTTATTTACCCGTCGGTCAAGACCGATTAACAAAAGAATAAAGAAGAATACTTCGAGCGTTGTTTGTATAAGCAATAAATTACTTGTTAAGCCATTACTATGAGCGATAATATTATAGACATGAAAATAATGCGAATAGGATACATAAATAGCTGCCGTTACAATCATAATGAATGCTTTAAGAAGAAAATATAAATGCATAAATGATGAAACAGTTAATAAAGCCAATTGAATAAGTAATATATGAAATTCGAAATGACGACATGATTCATAAGTTTCAGAGTTCACCGACGATGGAAGAACACTAATCGCTTGAGTCGGTAGAATATGAGCCTAAAATGAATGGTGCATTCGTTCGCGTCTAGGAAAACTTATACTTCATGTTATCGCTCGCGATGAGTTGAACGAGGGCTAATAGCCCTCTGTTAAGCGTGCCTCCCAGAAGATTGTCCTCGTCATCACAAGATTTAAAATAGCAGAAAAACGACCTGCATGCACCTGTTTTGTATTATTTTATATCAAATTTGCTCGTATTCAAAGTCTTTTAGTATTTTCGCCTCACATTATTTTTACATTCGAATGAAACCTCAAGGATAAATCCAAGGTTTGTTTGAGTAGATTGATGATGTTGACGAAGTGTTTGCTGACAGACAAAATAAGGCGCCATAAAAAACATCAGCTGCGCTAAATAACTTCAACATTTATTAGCTATTAGAATGTATTCATTCCTTTAATTGCGAAAAGAAATATCCCGGATCCACCGACTTTCGGCTGTTATCCTTCACGTATCTCTATAAAGATAGAACAGCATTTACTTGATTGTTGATATTTTGTGTATAAGAAACATTTGCTACGAATGTTGTATTGGTGTATATTCCATTGGCGGCATTTGGTTTGAGCCACGATATAGCAAATGGTGTTAGAATACAAACAGATATTAATATAAGAGTTACAGGCAAACGAATAAAATAATAATGTGTAACTAAATAAGTTGATTGGTCTAATAGCGAACGATGATTGTCATGTTGTAACTGAAAACGCAAATGTGCAAGAAAAACATTCTCGTGTACAAGATCAATTCACATACTTTTGACAAATCAACAACACAGAGTAACGCTGCTATACCAAATGCACATGCACCAATAAGTACCAAAACAAGAAAAAGAGCATTTCTATATAAAAAGAAAAGAAACAATTTATATATTTATGGGAAAAAAATAATTTTCTATAAAATACTTTTCTAAGATCAATGCTTGAATAAGTAAAATAACTAGAAACACACAAGCTGCATTGACAACATAATATCGATAGCATAGGTCGGGCAATGAACGAAACAAGGATTCATTAGCCGTTCGATTTTCTTCGTCATCATCTACAACTGTTTGATCTTTCCTTGCTTGTTTACTAAATTCAAGTGTAAATGGCTCAAGATCATTTGTACTTCGCCGACGACGTCTACAGAAATAGAAAATTTCTAAGAAATTCTTCTTTGAAAAATTCTTCTACTTTACGTGCAAGAAAATGAAGTTGCTAATGGTTTTAAATTATCTTCGAGCAGTACAAAACTTTTTGCCGCATCAGATTTTTCCGTGTCACCATGACCTTGCACTGCAAATGGTGTTTCATTCGACCATGTATCCAATAGTTTTTGCATTTTTTTGCTTGATTTACGTGTATCACCACTGCTAGAAATATGATTTGGTAACGGCAAGATTTCAAAAAACATTTTCATTGCCGCTCTTACCTCATCGTTGATTGGTTTTGTGCATTCGGTGCATTCGGAGGTATTATAAAATATGTTTTAATACCTAATTTAGCAATGTATTCATCACGTTCATTTCCATGAGCTTCTTCAACTTCGTACTCGTTCCCCAATTTGAGTAATGTACTTTCAGATATATGAACACGGCTATTAATAGAAAGTTCATTCGTTTTAACAATACTGCTTTAGGCTGAACGTTTTTGGCATTGTTTCTGTTGGAAAATTTTGAGTATTTCAAGATTTAGATCAAAGCTGCTAAACGGAAATCTATCGTTTTACCGTCGAGCTATTTTCTCATTAGAAAAAATGTCGTTTCTAGGAAAGCTTTTGATTAACTGCGAGCTTGTTTCTTTTTTTGTATCTAAAAGGAAACTATCAGTCTATTCAGATAACGTTTCGTGCGGGCCGTTAAGACCTAGGAGGTAAAAACAGGGTGAAGCTAAGTTTCCGAGAACAAAAATGCACTTTATATGTTACAGTAAAAATTTCGAGGTGATTGATTGGATTTTTCTTTGAAGAACGGGTTTAATTATACCAGTACTGGGAGCTAAGAATTATTGATATCTAAATTTTTCTGCTTCGGCTTTTTGAACTCGAGCTTTCAGAATGAAAATTGTGTTGTTTTACGAACAGTAAAACTACTCAATTGCATCAATAATTTCAATATTCCTTCTAGAGGAAATCCTGTATGACACTTTTCTTTTATTATAATTTAAATGTTTGATGTGATTATCTCATTTTTACTTCGTCAGTTTCGAAAATTACTCGGAACCGCGATTACCAACATATGACGTTCTTTTAAGATTTCAAGGATAAAAAAAATTCGGCAAATCTCATGAGGAAACAAAATATCGGGCCGAATTTTTTCTGAAAATAAACACAAAATTCTATAAGGAATCTGCAATCGATATCATTTTCTATCTAGCACAATAAGTCGATAATGGAACGACCCGACACTTTCTAAAAGCAACACTATGAAATCTCAGCTTTCAATATCAGAATGTCTCTTCTAACGTATCTGACAAACAAGGTTATCTGTTAAGTGTAGGCGATCTATTTTGAGCACCATTGCATATCAACATTTTAGTTCGGATGTCATTCAACATCGCATAGAATCCAAGAAAATGTCAACAACACACATGAAACATTGATATATGCATCAAGGACGCTTTTGCATCCGTGTAAAACACATACATTTCTTACATTGTTCTACTCAATCTGTCATTGAAGTTACTTTGTTTATGCGTACTGTAGTATTTTCTCGTATTATAATCTTTGAATAATGCGAGTCGAATTACGTGTTCGCTAGATTTTTCAAAATCTGTTGTTATATTTACAGACTGTTCTACGTAAGCTTAGTTTCTTATGTATTTACAAGCTGCCTATTTTACACTAGACATACCCCGGCACGCCACCCGCTTCAATATGATTAGCTAATGTCACATCATCGGACCATGTATCGTACTGCCATTTTTTAAGACCTATCACTCCACATAAGACGCGTCCTGTGTGTATTCCAATGCGCATATCAACATTCACACCCGTTGCCTCTCGTACTAATCTAAATAATAATAAAAAGAAAAGAAAAACAAAGATCAGCATTAACAAGACAATCAAGAGAGAAAATAATGTACTTGATATCATCGATCATTTTCAAACCCATGCGAACACAATTCGATGCGTGATTGGGTCGACTTATTGGTAAGCCACTAACACAATAATAACAATCGCCCAAGATTTTTATTCGCATACAATCACATTCCTAAACAGCAATAATAATTTTCCCACAATTAATCTATTGACATATGTTACTTGTGCTAATTGATCAAATTTTCCAAACAGCTTATTAAGAATTTGTACCAGTTCCGGTGGGGTAAATTTTTCTGATAATGGTGTAAAATTTACAATATCGGCATATAATATTCTAATTAAATCAAAAAATTTATCGAACATCAAAATCCAATAGGCAAACTTACGTCACATTTTCATGTTTTTTTATGTATAAATCATGAAATGTTGCTTTTCGTACACTAATATTCTTTGTATTCAGTCCTTGATCATCATAATCTCTTGATTGAAGATTATGATATTTAGCTGTCTCTTTAACTTTTCGTAACATCTCTGATTTCATACTTAATGCTATCAAAAAAGAAATATGATATTAGAAAACTTGGAAAAAACAAAAAAAAAACTCGGTTTCAATTTTCATTATACCAATATGAGCTGGAATAACACTCAGAATTAAAGTTTCTTGTTGTTCTTTTTCACGTTCAAGTCTTAAACGAGCTTCTATGCATCGCATAGTATTTTGATATGTTTTCTTCTGGTGTGCATCTGTTAAATATCGATGACATAAACCAAATAGATTGCATGCAACAAAAAATAATGATAGACATATAACCTAAAAAAAAGTGAAAGAGATGTTTGGGTACAAAAAGAACTTTTATCGTGTTAATATCATCATGGCATTGATGATAATTCGACACTAATAGACTTCTTCTTCTTTAAACAATTAAACAAAACGGAAAGATAATTTACCTCAAGTTTAAATTCCATCCGATGAATTTTGTTATTTGGATTCTGAATATTATGTGTACGAGTAACAAGAATTAAATGAATTAGTGATGTTATTGACGCCATTAGAGCCGTCCACGATCGTGAGATAGGTAATGTTGTATGTATAGTTATTATTGAAAATGTAACGATACCCATTAGATGTATAATTGATGTATGTTGTTGTAGAAGCATAGGTATGACGGAAAATAGTGTTAGCAAAAGCCATATTGATAAACATGATATATATACATGAGTATGAAGGAATTTTTCGCGTTGAAGTAGTATAATTAATGTTACTGACAGAAGTAAGATGCAAGAGAATAGAACAATTTCCAGAATGAATTGTGTCAAATGATGCTAAAAGAAAAATTCCATTTTAAAATAAACATTAAGAAAACAAAACCATATGATTATTTACTCTGCCAGAAAAAGCTGCCAATAATAAATAAACAAAACTTTGAAGAGCAGTCAACGATAACGAAAACAGAACCAGACTATGTTTAATACGAATTAAATAAAGACCAAAATAATGTTTATTGTCCATTGTGGCTAAAATCAATGGAAAATATGTAGTTTTTGTTACTATATTTTTTTTAATTATAAGAAAAATAAAACGCATTTATTAAATTTATCCTCTATCCAAGGACATATTCATTCCATTAGCTGTATGTCTAACAGCTAGATATTACCTACAAGAAAGAAAAAGTTCTTTCTCTAACTAACTATAGAATGCATCATTTGACCCCTCATCAACACCCCGAGAATCAACCGAGGCTTGTGGACATTAAATACGAAAGAAACAAAAAGAACCTATCAATCTACATTAAGAATATGAAATCAAGCATCAATTAGAATAACAACGATTATTATCCGAAATATTACTCTCTGAATAATGAATTCTAGCCTATTTAAATTTTCATTCACAAGAAAAGATCTGTAATTTTTCTTTTCTAAATTCTTTTTCTTTTCTCTTCTTATTACCGGTTATATTCGCCTCTTCACATAAGTCGACATATGACATAAAAATCTCCATAAAAAAGGCAGCAGCTGGTTTTATAAGATTTCATTACTCATCCTTTCGCTTCTATACTCATGGGGATCATTAAGAGAACAAGATATATACATAGAAGCTGTATGAAACTGCACTTTGGGACCTAATCAAAGCTGGTTCATCAGCACTTTCGTTTGTTTTCTCTGTCTCTTGATCTACGATGAAAATAAAGTGGATGAACCACTTACGTCAAATCACAATAACATAGAACAATGAACACTAAAGATTGCCTAAAGCATTCAATGGAATGTTATCATGAGGAGAAAAAGGAAGAGCAAAAGCAACTGTCTTTCTTTTGCTTTTGAAGGTTTTTGTTGGCTGTTAAAGATGATATACTCCGATCAAATTACTGATACTATTGGTCATCTGAAGTCTTCTTTTGTTTTATTTTAGAAAGTTCATCTGCAATTGCAGTCAATTATCAACTTGAACAAAGCAAAATTACTTCTCAGTATCATCTTTTTCTTTAAAGACATCAATAGTTAATAACCTCGTTTCGTGCGCTATTATATAAAAAAAAAAAGAGCCGTGGATAATAAAAGAGGAATGCCTTTAAGATGATGATGATGATGAACATTGTCGACTGCTATTCCTTTATGATAAAGATGATAAAAATAATCAAACCTAGAAGCAACATGTCGTTGTTTCGAAAAACGTCGTACTAGTACTCTTTTCTTATGTTTTGCTAGTGACACAAACCAAAAATGCCAAAATAATCCTTCAGACTTGTACGTAAAATGAGTAATCATTAAGCGCAACCATACCAAACATTTTTTTTTTAGTTATGCATATGGATAAAGAGCTAATTAATGTCAGCTTGTACGCAAAGCTGACTGATGACAATAGCAAGAATGCATCAATGCTTAAACAGGAAATAGAAAACGAAGCACTAGTTTGCGTCTCCAATGATTTCATCATAGAATTGAATTAGCACGGCTATTTAGACAAAAATAAACTGCCACCGTTATCACCCTTGTTAACTGTTGATAAAAGGCAAGCGAAAGAAAACAAAAAGAAACACAAGAAAATTTTGATGTTGAGCTGAAAAAAATAATATATAGAGAGGAAGATTGTACCTGTGGTTGCATTTGTCGATGACCAGTCTAGGTTATGTCGCACACTATTGCTAGAACTATTACACGTACTAGCAATGTCGAATACATTTACCGATTCTGAAATCAAAAGGAAAAGTTGATAAATGAAGATTAATCGATAAACACAATGTCTAAAAGCCACTTCGATATAAACACAGTAGGCTTTTATTATAGACGTGAAAATATAATATGTATTAATACTAACGAAAAAAAAGAAAGAAAAAAATATAGAACAAATGATACCCATGTTTATTGAGAAGAATGCAATTATCTATTTTTTCCTATGGCAATAGCGACTGTTTATGACGAGTTTGCGCATTATATTGGTTTTTTTTTGTTGACGATGCTACCGAAATACACATGTCGAAACGCCCTATCCAACCTAAACTCATCGTTGTGTATTAGCCGGTTGTTTTTCTTAATAAGATAGGAGAAAGTTAGTGACACAGAATATGGCTGTTTCTCTAGTTGATATTATATCCATATTGTTTGAATAACAAGCAGCGATTAAGAAATCATAGATAATATGTATCATACCACTTAAGATAGAACAAATTCATAAATATAGAAATCACTGATTTTCCTCATGGAATGTGTATAACGAATTGTTTAATTTTTATGTAACTCGACGAAATTCTATATTATTTTTCCAGACATTTCTCATCAAATCAGCTCAATTAACAATAAGCAAGAGCAACAATTAATAATGTTGCTTTTTAATTGTACTTTTCTTGATTACATCATACGATCCGCAAATGTCTTGTCAAGGTCTTGTCATATTAGTATGATTACAAAATAAATCTACGCAAGGAAAATAGACTAATACAATATTACTCTAATAAGGAAAAATTGTCCACATAATTAACTTAACTGTTCGAGAAGCTTATTCAAAATAAAGACTTACTTCGTTTGTTATTATTTTTTGTTTGACTAATAAACGAATCATGGCTTTTAGATTTTTGATCGGCCATTCGTGACGATGATACTGCTGACGGATGTCGATGACGACGAAGAAGTTTAAAAACAGGAGATCGATGCTGATGTTGTTGTTGACGTTGACGCTGACGCTCCTTCCCCATTCTATCGAGATTATTGTCCATGATTCTTTTTTGTTGGTACGTTTTCAGATAAAAAATTTTCAAGAATATTTTTCGTTTTGTCTGTCCAAATGAAGGTGTGCGTGGTGTGCGCAAAGAGTAAGTAAAAATGAACCGAACGTAACAGATACTAATGAGTACCGGAGTTTGATTTCACTCTTCTTCTTCTTTTTCTTGATTGTTCTGATAACAGCTCGTTATTTCAATCGGAAGAATATTTGAGTGATAACAACAAGTGTTCTATTCGAATTGTTCTATTTATTGAAAAAGAATATTGCCTGTTTCGCTTATAAGCCAATGAGCAAGCGAGAGAGAGAGATAGAGAGAGAGACAGAGCTTTTAGCGATGTCAGATGATGATATTCTTTATAATAAGCAAAATAATAGGTTGAACTCGTGGTTATGGAGCTTTTCAGAACAGAATTATTGCTATCTAAAACAGCGGATATGTATCCTTGTTTCATGTCTTGTCGTAAGCAAAAACGCGATGAAACTACTTATTTTCTTGCTCTTTGTCATCTTTATATCTTTCCCAACGGCTTGTACTTCTACTTGTCTTCGTTTGTAGACAAGATTATCAATGGTCGAACTGAGATGACTGTTGAGAATAGCAAAATATATAAGAAAAAAAAGTGGAAATGAAGATGATTATTATGAAAGCAAAAAAGAATAGGCGTAGAGAAGATAATGATAGGGATGATGTTTTTTTTACTTTCTTATTAGCCACATAAGCGCTCGTATGCTCATCCCTATCGGTCATAATAATGGTAACTTTTATAGTAAATCTACGTTACGTATATCAAACGTTTCTCTCGTGCATATTGCATCTTGCTGCTGTTGCTGTTCTGTATGCATCATTTATAATAATAGCAATAATGATAATCGCGTGCATGCATCATAAAATATAAATCTATTTTAATTAGGATTTATATCAATGACAATTCCAGTATCACATATAATTCTATGATGCCAACAGATTAAAGATCACTGTCTTAATTGGAATATATTGTTAACAAATTATTGAATGCACCTACTCAAAATTTCTCGGTTTCGATATGTTCGAAACAGTTGCATGAAGTTTGTTTTTGAATGACAGCTACTGCTGACTTCTGACAGAGATATCTTTCTAATGAAAAGTCGTATAGACGCTTTTCTGCTTGACTTGATAAGAATTTTTTTAGTCCGATCTCGTCTTTTAGATAAATAGAAAAACAAAATTGAATACGAACCCGATGATAGAAATATCCAATATTTTATATGGCATTTACTGAAAGCGAGCGTTATGTTTCCTACAAAAATAAAAGCGAGAAACAGTTCGCATCTGAAAAATATAAATGGCAGAATCAGAGATGTAATTTACGATGAAAGATCCCCTAGTGTGAATCTACTTTTTCAATAGATTTCCTGTCAATTATGAAAGACCCATGCGCTGCGCACAATGTCACAAAATATTCTTCGATATAGATTAAATTTACGAGATTGGATCTAACGTAAGATAAGTTACTACGAGTTATTATTTCGGAAATCTTAATTTGTTGTAGAGCCTTAAACAATACGGGCGGGGCGGGGGCGGGGGGTGACCCGGAAATATTTACTTTTATCAATAAGTATTCGATTTGCTTGTGGAAAGGCTGGCATAGATAATATTTCTATTTGTGTGAAAGTATGTAAATTTAAGCAAGTCGAATATAGTGTAAAAGTTTACAATGCTAACAAAAACTTCAACAATTCTGAAATAGTACGGATCGGTGCCTGAATAAAGATCAAAGCGAGGAAAATTACAGTGATAAAATGACATATTAAGATGAATTTTCAACGAGTTAGCTTCTAAACTAACGGCATAGAAATAAAAAACAGGAAATTAAATTGCCCGTTGAAAAATGTTAGAGAATGTATTCCTTTTCAAAATGGCGAACAATGAATTTTAGTGTTCTAAATCACTGCCGTAAAAACCAATGTCATCATGCTCTTTCTTTGATCGTCTCTACTGTACATGAATAGTAAAATATCTTATTTAAGTTTCCTATAAGATAGCGGTAAGAATAGACGAAGATGGAAGCGAAATCATCATTTCCAAATCATACGTGCATTTTTTATCTTGCACCAATAAATAACAAAATCACTTTCGATAGACACATTGTCACTTCTTGTAAACGAGTGATGAAAACGAGAGGCTGATCATACGTCTGACTGCCATTGCCAAACATAAATAATAAAATTTGATTATTTATATGCAGAACGAGATAAAAAAAAAAAGTGGTCTCCTTTGTTTCAATCTATCTTGCGTGTCACATATGCTAATATAAATAAATCTATATGTATATTTTATTGTATATATAATAGACGATTTTCCTGGCTGTTTGACATGTTTAAAACGAGTTTCTTCAAATTGATTTTAGAATCGGGTCGGACATAGTCGATTTCCTTTCTATAATGAGAATGATTCTCTACTAATTATAAAGACTAGCTCTTCAGATAATAATCTGAAATGTGGCTATACTACTTAAGACACTGTTAATAAACCTAACGAATTTGAGGTACATCTTGACATAGGAGGTTTTATACATTATAATATCCTCTAATCTCTCATGGATAAAAATTTTCACGCACGTGCACAATAGAATGCAAATTTTAACACGAAATCGTCTTCATGAATAATTCATTTGTAAAATAGCATGTGCTTACTCTCGTTAAAATATTGTACTGGTCACATTTTCTTTTGAATAAATTCTACTTGCTCGTTCTACGTTAAAATTCTTCGCAGTCGTTTTGCATATTTTTATGCATGTGTTCACCTACATCCTACTTTTTCATGATTATTTGTCACTTGTTAGTAATTTTCTTACGATGCGCTATTTGACATAGTGTATTCTTATAGTTCTATGATACAGTTATTGGTAAGAAATCAAGTTCGAAGTGATGAAAGCTAACTATATAAATGATGCTTAGAGAACAAGCATTATCATTATATTCAAATGCACGGGACTCGTTATTGTCAACGATGTGAATCTAAAGAGTAATTGAGCAATTTCTAGGGAAAAAATGGACGTTTTTATAGGCTTTTTATCAGAATAGAGAAGAGATTGAATATATCTAACAATTACTGAATTAATGCGTTAAACGATGAATATACTTGAACCATTTCAAGAGCATGAGTAGTTTCGATTAGCTTGTATCAATAAATTCTGTATTCATTGAAAAAAACACTTTGTATTGGGCTTTCAATAATAAAATTGTCCTTATTCGATTTTATAAAGCAAAACCAATCATTTCTATGCTATTTTTTAACTGCCCGATGACAGCATTTCGTTAGTTTTATATTTGGCCGAATTCCAAGTGCAGGTCGAGTCCAATCATTTCCTAGCATGCCATTTAATGTGCGAATACAACATGGCGTAGCCATAATACATCGTTCTGTACGATTGAATTGCATTGGTAAGTGAACGCCAAGAAGACGGTCAAGGAAAATATCAGTAAAATGATTACAATTACGTCGAATTAAATCATCTAGACAAGGAAATGCATGCTCTTTGCTTTTATGAAAATAAATTGTTTTCTTACAATCATTTCGAGTGAATTTATCATAAATATTAAATAAAATTTTTGTTTCAATTTCATCTTGGGTTAATTCAGTCATGCCGAGCTTTTTCGATAAAATTAATCGACCCTGATGAGAGTAAGGTTGAGATTTACAAATGCCATCACCAAAATAATATTCAACATTATATAATTGTACACTCTATAGATAATTGTTGATTAGGAAAGTTCATTAGGATTTAACTAACTGTATGATAAGCACCAAGAAAATGGCAAGTAGAGTATTTGAACAAACAATTAGCTGTTCGATATTCGGAAAGTAAATCGTAAACATTGAGAAACACAGGTTCTAAATGTTTAGTTTTACTATTAGAAACGGTCGTTGTTAGATCGTTCATAGATTGTAAGTTCTTGCTCTGCATTTTTATCAAAGAAATAATATTAAATAGAGGCGCAAAGTTTTTAAATTGACACTTTTTTCGATTTTCTTATATTATTAATTCTCGGGTGCAAATAATTTGCTTTTGAATTTATGCCTACAATTTAAATAAACGATTTACTAAAGATTTTCATTAATATGATAGAAATATTGATCTACCAATATTAGTGAAATGCAAAAGTAGCTCGTAGTACTGAGAGCCAGAACATGTATTCGTCATTTTGCAGACACTTCCATTCTGTATTGCATGGTATGTCACTCGGATTTGCTTTGAAAAAGTCTCTTTCGTTTAGAAAATTAAAAAAAAAAGATTTTGGATGCCAAAGCCTAGTTTTTTTCAGCATTCACTTGATCAATGGAATACAATTTCGAACACAATATATAGTGGCTCCCATCATTATTTGACTAGTTGTACACTCAATATTTTTGCAGCTGTCGTAAATGTTAGCAACAGCCAATTTTGGTAATAAGCCTTAGGATATGGGCGTGTGAATAAAAGCAAGTTTGATCTGCCTGCGCACCTATACCCGGTAGCTTTAAACATGCTTTCTCATTCAAAGAATGAGCATCCTTTATAGGAAAGTGCAGTATTCAATGCCATAACATTTTCTTCTAAAAGCCGAATGTTACATTTTATTATATACAATAGGAAGTAAAATAAACATGTGTGCTGAGTCTAGACAATATAACTTCAACTCGATGCCGAAGCTGTTCATACGTAAGTGATTGCTTCGATATATTACTCTGGTTCGATTGGTAAGAAGTATTTAAAGTAATGTTAGATTTTCTAGTGTATAGACACCAGGTCTATGTTCTCTGTTTATCTATCATAGTTTCAGCAATCATTAACTTCGAAAAAGACTCTTTATGCGTGCGCGTGCCGCCACAACACCGAGTAATCTAATGGTGTAAACATTAATCGCTGATTAATGGCGGAACAGCTTCTGATTACCTAAGAAAAAATCTTTGTAGAATTCGTGAGAGAGAACTCAAAATTATTCATACAATGAGAAACGGAACCAAAACGTGAAATTCAATGTCGATTATTTTGTCAGAGTCAACATAAAGCACTTCACACTTAACCCTTTCCAGCCGACTCCCAGAAGACAGGCAGCAAAGAAATATTGTGTTGTATATTTTTTGTTGCTCTATTATAGGGATGCCAAAAATATATTTTTCAGAATAAATTTTTTTTGTATGGAATGACTGCCTGCTGCCATTTGGCAACATCCGGCCGTAACGGGTCAAACTGGTTGTAAATTTTTTTTTCGATTTCTATAATAAAAATGCATTATTCAATACCTCTTCGTTTATTAAAAGCATTTCAACACGAAAAGAATGACTCAAACATGGATAGAGTGCTTTGCACGCAGCTTTTTCAAAATATAAATTTCGTTTTTTCTGGCAAAACTCCAGAGCAGGAGACTTTCAGTTCTCCAGTAAGGACATAGCAAAACAATAATTGATTTGAATATGAATGTTCATGTAGATAAATGAAAGGCCTACACCAACATCTGCACTAAGCCCATAAAGCTTCTATCGTTGCCCGGCTATTACACTCGAAGTATTAGTATACTTGAATATTGTCACTAAAAACTAGATTTAAATCGGAAAAAAAGCTGTGATAAGCATCTTATAGCTGCTTGAGTATCTAAAAACGTTTTGAGCAAGCGAAAGCACATACAATAGTGCACTTGGATGATCGAAATCAAAAAACAATTTTTCAAATTTTTGACCCGTTACGGCCGGCTGTTGCCAAATGGCAACATCAATAATTTTTATTGTTCGGATTTGCTGAAAAATTCTCTTTATTAATGGAATATGCAATAGATCTAAAAAGAAAAATTTACAGCTATTCACTTCTAGTATTGAATCAGCTCATCCGTAGAAAAATTGTTTTTTTACGGTTGAATGGCTTCCATGGGATATTGTAGATAGATTCGGCTATGTTCTCAGTGGAAAGTTCTTTTTTGTATCGGAAACCGTGATTGTATCCTGAAATGTGTTACAGTAACTATCGAATCGTTAAAAAGATCTAATTAGATAATATATGGATGAATAGATTTTCTACACTTGGCACATGAAAGAAATCAGTCATTATCAGATTAATTAAGGCAAGTTCACCAACCTTATTGCTGACGGGATGTAATAACTTATGCCCACTGAGATATGACTCGTTCATCAATAAAAAATAAAAACAGAAATTATTTTAATTTTAAAATAATCAACATTATCGTAGTTGCATGAAATAAGGACACCTGAGTTAGAGTGGCAGCCTGGTTTCATGGCAACTCTGATTATAGTAGCACTGAGAGGAAAGCCAATAAATAATTTAGGATCAGTTGTAACTGTCATTTTCTGTTTTTATTTTTCTTTAATAGAAAATGAACGAGTCAAGCAAACGAAGGATTGTTCGTGTCATAAATTTGGGAAAACGCATAGACTAGTTCAGTATAAATATAGAATCGAAAGTTCATTTGTATTTTTAGATAATCAACCACAGGCTGCGTATGAACCACCCCATCCACAATAGCCATCGCTGAATCCATGAACTCGACAACATGTTTCAACATGACCACCTGTTCGGCAAGGTGTATTACAAACAGGATAATAGCGCCAAGCCATGAGTTGTCCAACGACTATAAAACACAAAAAGATATCATTGGTATATTTCGAATCATCTATCGCTTTTTTCTGCGAAAATTCACTCACCAATAGTTAACAAGAGAAATAAAAGGAAAAAAAGAGCTCGTATTGTTCCGGGAGTTTTCCCATAGGCAATATAATCCTTTCGATATATAAACTTGAGTTATATTTCATAGGATATATCATTCAAACATTTCACATCAACCGAAAACTACTCGTAAGATAAAAGTATCATCATGATGAATCGTGCTTTCCTTTTATTTCTCTTGTTAACTATTGGTGAGTGAATTTTCGCAGAAAAAAGCGATAGATGATTCGAAATATACCAATGATATCTTTTTGTGTTTTATAGTCGTTGGACAACTCATGGCTTGGCGCTATTATCCTGTTTGTAATACACCTTGCCGAACAGGTGGTCATGTTGAAACATGTTGTCGAATTCATGGATTCAGCGATGGCTATTGTGGATGGAGTGGTTCATACGCAGCCTGTGGTTGATTATCTAAAAATACAAATGAACTTTCGATTCTATATTTATACTGAACTAGTCTATGCGTTTTCCCAAATTTATGACACGAACAATCCTTCGTTTGCTTGACTCATTCTATCTATTAAAAAATTAATCTTTAAAATTATCTAGAACACTATTCAGTTTAATTTGATCAATATCATTGTTGTTGAACAGGTTGAATCGAGTAAAAAAATTTTATTTCTTTCTCAAATAATTTTATATACTTATTATTTTTTTCAACCCTGCTTAAAATGTATCTTTTACTATTATTATCGTCTTTCTAAAGGAAATATATGTATGTATATATTGCTGTTGACTTCGATTATTGGGAGTGTTGCATTTAATCGTGATTTAAAAGTTGGTTAGTCATTTTGTTGATGCCATGAATTTTTTAAATGGGTTAATGCAGTGTCGTGTTCATATCGATCATTCTTCCGATCCTTTTGATGTTGTTGATAAATTGTAAAACGTTTTCTTATTCATCACCATTGCATTTTCTGGATTCTGATAAACATTCTCGATAGTATATGATCATATCTGAATACTGTAAGCTGTTAGACATTGTTTCTATATATTTGTTGAGTAGTGTTAATTGATGCTTCCAAAGGGTTTCAGTGTAATTAGATCTGTTTAATGGTATCGTACACACTCACGCCCACAACAGAGAAATCACACGTTGAAAAGTTCAGTCAGTACAAAGTTAGAAAGTTGGTAGGAGAACTTCTTGGACACATATCGTACTTATGAACTCTTGCATAATCTCATCATCATTTATTTCGATCTCTTCGAAAACATCTATGCGAGAACGATGCGAAGACTTGGATGAACTCAAATCTCAAGTCGCAACATTTTTCGAATCACAATCAGCTAGTGTCTATAAACGTGAAATTGAACAATTGTCAACAAGATCAACAAGTATTGAATGCCGATCATGTGGTTGATTGATTTTACTTATCTTTCTCGTAGAATAAATTTATTGTTATACAAAATAACAGATTTAGAACTTATCTTCCAACTCAACATATTATACAAATATTTATTCCAACAAAATCACTTTATTTCACAGATTTCTAATTAGTAGAAAGAATTGTTTTCATCTCTATAAAAATTTTATTTTATTACAGCAATAGGCAAGATTATTTTATTGTTTTTCTTAAATTCGATACTTTATTTTTGCAGAAGGAAAATATTCTTGTAAAGAAGAATTTGAACATTTGGTTTCAGCATATAATTGTAATTCATCTATTTTGCCACAATTAATTCGTGTAGTATCACTTGTGAAATTGTGTGTTACTCGCTGTAAAGACTTATAATGAATATAAAGAGTAACATTATTTGGAAAACATGTTTTACTATTAATTAGAAATTCTTCTATGTAATCATCATGAACATTGAGAAGATCAAGTGCACCAAGAAATGAATATTCAATAACAGATAAATTTTGATTGCCAGTGTTTGATTCATAAGATTGTTTACGATTTTGTGATTTACGATTAATCACAGATAACTCTTCCACACGTGGAAATTATCTAGCAATTTGAAGAAAAAATTCATGTTCTAAAGGGTGTCCATCGTGTAAGGCCACTACACGAACGCATTTAAATAATCCACCTGGAAAATTATTTGTAATACCACCGTAATACGGCATAAAATATGGATATGTGTAAATGTGACATCGGCCTTCCTGTGCCTCTGGCAAATAATCAACATAAGAAATAATTTCATTAATTGGGAAGTCAATGAATCTACGTTGAATATCTTCTGTTGATGGAAAATTGATTTGATTACGAATAAACATGTATCAGCGAATATAAAATGTAAATTGATTTAATCTTGACATACGATTAATAATGTTTTTCTTCAAGTGGTTTCCATCCATAAATGTTTCATGAACAAGGACTACAAGGCACAAATTGAGTTCCTTTAGATTTGACATTCGATTGAGAAGCGGGAGAATTGTTGAATTATAACCATATGCGTTATAATTACATGAGAGAGAAAAACATTTTAGATTTGGTAAGTCACCCTAAAAAACAAAAGTTATTTTGCTATCTTACAGCATAAAGATTTAATTGTAAAACTAACTTGATTTGGAATCCGACTTAAATGTATAAAATCCGCTATATCAACATAGAAAGTATGCAGTTGATTAAAACGACCATCAAGAAGGTAAAGACAATCTTCAAACCATTCTACTCTGATACTCAATTTCAAAAGAGTTGAAGAACGAAAACTAGAAAGAAATGCATTATCGAAGCGTAATAGATCACGTTTTTTTATACAATGTTTCGTATAAGGTTAAGCAAATTAGATTAGTGAAAACAGTCAAGATGTAATTGCATGTTTGTAATTGTAAGTTCTGTGTTGTTATTATTATCAGTTGTAACAAAAAGTGTTGTAATCTGATTTTTTTAAATGCCAGATGAAAGAATTTCGTCTAAATATATACGCAGAATATCAGTAAGAAAAAAACCTATGAAAGTAATATTCATATGGTCCAGACATCTACGTATGTGAATAAGTTTGATAGATTTTTCATTTTTTTTAGCACAAGAGCAATTCAATTGAAATTTCTTACCAGTCGAAAGACACCGAACTGACTCTTCGTTGATATTATATAGACCCAGAGTATGTAAATTAGGATAACTGGCAGCATGTAAAATATAGTTCATAGATGATGATTCAAGATCAAGCCATTTGATAACCATTTAACACAGGTCAAACGACTTGTAAAAATTGGATCTTTAATAATTTTATTTAGTCGTTGGTTGACACCTTGGAAAGAATACAGTATATCACAATTGTTGATTTTTTTTAAAATTATCATAAGAATCTCATCAGGTAAATCAATTAAATCAATGTTTGGATATTCCGTGTTTATCTAATCTGTTCGGTATACGAAATGTCAATATTTATATACATATATTCATCTATTCTATTTGACCGATGTCGTCAATGCAAACAATGATACAATTTTTCTATGATCAAAATTGCTAATGAATTAAACGATAGAATAAATGAATTTTGTTATTTATTTTTCTCCTTTGTCTATTATGTTCTTTGATGAAAAGTGATACTTTCTGTGTTTATTTATTTTATAGTGCATATGAATACTTTAAATTATAATTAATTAGTTAAAAAGTATGTCTCTAATAGTTTAGGAAAACGAATCTAGAAGTTTCAGAATAGACTCTAGAATACAAAGTTAATATTGAACGTCGTATTGAGCTACACTCTAAATAAAATCCGTTTTCTGGGAAACGAATAGGACGTTTCGGGGTTTGTCACTATATGAAACCCTTTGTAGGTTTCCGGGAAGGGGTTTCCGAGCATTCGAAAACTTATCTGAAACCCTCACAAGCAATCGGTGAAGCTGACGACCCCGAAAACCTATTGAAGGTTTCCGATACTTCGGGAACCTTTTAAGGTTCTAGATTTGGGTACTATTTTCAGAACCATTTAAGGTTCAAGCAAGAATCTGGTTCTAGCTGGAATCTTTTCTATTTTCTTCCAAAAATGGTTCTAGAGTGATGAAATGTAGTCCGCCACACTCAATTAGTCTAGTACTCGCCACTAATGCTACATCCATCCGTTAATGTCATATTTAACCCCTTCTTTCTATCCTTAACCTAAATTCTAACACTAACCTAAATTCTAACCTTAACCCTTAATCCTATCCTTAATCTTAATTTCTATGCTAAACCACTAAATCGTATGTGTTATATTTACCTGCATTTGTAGTGAACAGAATACGAGCCAGCCCTTTCTCCTTTATTCGCACGAAAGGGCAATCGCCGTTACTTGTTGTTGAGATGATCCTAAACAAAAAACAAGAGGAGTGACTAATACTCTAAGATTGAACTTACCATGAGTTCAATTATTCACATATACCTAAATAGAAAAAAAGCATTAATTCATTTTATCATATTGAACTTGCGTTTCAATTGATTATTGCTACCTACCTAAATAAAGAAAATAGTGACTTCATTTTACCATATTGATATTACTTTCTATTGATAATTGTGATGTATGAAAATAGATAAAAAGAATAAGCGCATTTTATAAGTTATAACTTACTATAGAATTAATTATTGAGACGCACCTACCCATATCCAGCAATTCGACTCGGATCCTCAGCCTCGGTATCGATGGTGCCGGATTCAGATTCCTGGATCTCGATAATCTATTTCAAGCATCGATCAGAATTGAAATCGGAGTTGAAATAAAATGTCTAACTTTGCAGCCACGGAATTTTTGATGAACCCAATTTCTGACCAACGGGAGCCCGGATCGAAAAAGTGTGGGTGTGGGTATTGGTGTTGATATTCGATACTTCACACCCACACCCACTGATAAAAGACTATTCATAGTTCACATTCATAGGAGAAACATTAATGAAAATTGCCTTTCAAATATCATTTGTGGCTTCAAGAAATCGGTAAAAATCTTATAGGGAGGCTGCGAAAACAAAATCATTGTATTGAATTTCCTAGTGAAGAACAAATTACATTCCCTTCTTTCTCGTTTGATTCTTCAAAGTAATATTGTTTCTTCTTCTCCTCCTCATATGTACACAATAGATACATGTCTTACTACTTGATGTACCCTAAAAATGTCCTTTACAATAAGCAAGAATCTACACAGAATACTACAATCTTCGATTTCTATAACCTGTAAAATATTCCGCTATTTGTTAAGATTACTTATGATACTCGAAAGCAATTTGCATCAATGTTTCTCTTATGGATATGAGCTATGAACACTTCTTTATCAGTGCTAATAATATTAATGCATTTGAATTTGAATTTGAACTGAGTATGGCACAACGAGCTTATTGTTTTTTATGTTATAGGTGGCATAAGTGGAGAACCGAATTGCCACAGAAAATACTATTTTCTTGAAGTTTTCCCCTAAAATGGTTAGCGTTTCTTTTTAGTTACTCTCGTTTGATTTCATTCTAATGTAGTATATGAATACATCAGTTGATACTGCTCGTCATATTGCATCCATTAGACAACATTTTCTAGTCGACACACGTGATTGTACAAATCGCTGCGAAAAACAGCTTGAAACAGTAGTTAACTTGTCTTACATATAAAGGCAATCCAAAGATAAATTATGGACGAGAATAGGAAAACGAAAGAATTTTACTTCTATGTAGTAAGTAAATATAAACGGACAAATCACAAAACTCTTTCGAATATCTATCGATATATGTATCGTCTAATTGTTTGAATAGACTGAAAATTGTCGTCAGATCGAAGAAGTGAAATAATCGATAACGAATATTTCTTTATTTTCTTCTTTAACACTGATGTCTATCAGATAATCATTTTATTTAATATATTCAATAACATTTTCGTTGTAGATTTTAGTCAAATGTTCGCAAACAATGAACAACTTGATGAAAAATTCACATTTATTATTTGTCATACCCAGGTCGAACAGTACAGTCCATATACGGTGCCGTATTACTGTGCCAGGTATTACGGGCAAATACAGGCTATTTATTGCCGTAAATATTCCGTTTTGACATCGTTTACTGTCGTTAACAGGCCGTAAACGAGTCCATTTTGATCAACCTGGGAATATCTGATATATTCCAAAAAAATGATTTTGTTCCGGTAGAAAGTTCAATAAGAAAAACAAAAACGTTGCCGATAGACTTTATGGTATCTGTTACAGGCAAATAATCTTGATGTTAAATCAAAGTGTCGAAACAAACATGTAGCTGTAAGATCATAAAATATAAAAACAATGGTATTGATGTTGACATATGTGTACAAAGGAGAACAAATTATATATTTTTGACCGTAAAAGTAAAGAAAAAATTTTGTTTTTCAAAATACAATAGCAATATAGATTTGAAAAATTTTTAGAATGAGAAAATAAAGCTTAAAAAACAAATAACAATTAACATCGATGATCATGTCAAACAACGTCATCCCAAGTGAATGAATCTGATCGGATCTTATAAAATTCGACGAGCCGGCAAAGTCCCATGAGATTCCGGGTTGAGGAACTACTAACGGATCCATAGCGTTGGAATACGGTGAACATCCGACCAAATTCAACAACCGAATTCGATAAGAATTTTAGAAGTCGGATTCCACCGAGATCCTAAAGAAACCTATCGGGTTTTTACTAGTTCCTGCAAGAATCGATCGGATTCCTACACTAGGGATCCGTGAGTGGGTCCGCAACCCGGATTTTCTTAGAATCCTGCAGGAACCAATCGAAATCCGATCGAGTCCGATTGGATCCAGGTATCGAATTGTTCGTCCTGAGATGAACAGTTGGAGTGAGTTGCTATCTTCTGTAAAAATTTTCTATTTTCTTCTATAGATTACATAATCAAACAACATTAGAGAATAGTTAAAATATGTTAATTAAGACAGTCAAGACAGAGATTAGCAATTTACTGGGTTCAAATGAAATGATGATGTCAAATCCAGGTAATTCCTTACATTTATCAAAAGATCAATCGATTTTATTACGACGTATATTACTGCTAGGCCTAGATACTTCTTATGAACAATTGCCTTCACATAATTCACAAGCACAAGCACCAACAGGAAATTGGAATAAAATGCAAATGAAACATAATGAAGGAAAATTTAAACAAATGCATGGAAGCTCATCACCATGTTATTCAGCATCACCATCATCATTAATATCTTCCATTGCTGCAACATCAATGAAAGGTAATTTAACGTTAGCTCATTTTAAGTTAATTGTATCCGTTGAGATAGCACTTTCTCTTCATAACAAGAATGTTTATAGCTGTAACACTAAAAACATGCGATCTCGTTAGAAACAAGTCATAAGCATGAAGTCTTTCTATCACCGATATGACTCACTAAAGAATAAAACATGCACTAAATCCCGATTGAAAACTTTTCGACACTTCGAAATATTCCCTTACTAGTTCAGTTTTTGCAATTGTTACTTATGCGTTTCATGCCAGATACTTTGACTGCTTATTAATTGAAGGTTTTTAATATTAACAACATAGCGTTTCACAATGCAAAGATATATTCTCTGAAAAAAATACAACAAGTCTGTTAGAATACACAAAAGGCATTGGATTAGAGAGTTCATTGAAATAGTAGCAAAATTGAAACAACTTGTATCTAATATTCCAGATCAACTCGATTTCAATGGTAATCAAACTTGTCCAGCTCCTCTATTACAACCATTAATTTCTCAAGCATCATTACAACAACAACGATATATGTCTTCACAATACCAAGCCAATCCATTACTTCAACAAAGTTCTTCTACATATTTTGGAAATAGTTTATCATATTGTCCTCCACAGCAAGAACAAGATAATCGAGTAAGATATTATTTCTTAAAGTCATATTTTTCATTCGTTGATTTGAGATTTTCATAAGTAAACATCCTATTCTTTATCCTCCCATATTTCTATATAGATTTATCCATCAACTGCAAATACTACTAATACAGATTCGATAAATTCAAATTGTTGGGGTGTTCAATCTTCACCAATCGTAAGTTCATCTATGTAACCTTGTTTTATCGTAGTAAACACTTTTATATATATATATTTCTCTATCAAATAAAAATTCAAAATCTCCTAATATTTTCTATTCAATCATCTGTATTTTTCCACACATACCATATTCATGCTGGCTTTTTTTGTCGTTATATGTATAGAAATATGTATGCTATGTTCCTCTTGTTTACTAACATAAATATTGTAATTCTATGTGATTTATCATGCCTTCTTCTTTGTTTTTTAGTATCAAACAAAACATTATGCATATCCAGATACAACTATTTATATGCAATCACCATCAACAAATGTGCCTAATACAAATCCAGTGTATTATCATAAATCACCAGTTTCGATTTCTCGTAATTTTTTTCTTCTGTATTTAAACTATAAAATTCGATAATATTTTGTTTTTGATTTAGCTTCACCACAAAATAATACTATGGTTCTACCATCACCAATCTCTGGTTGCCCATCTTCATTATTCATTGATCATGATAATGATACAATTCGTCAATCACAGTCACCACCATGTCTTCCATCACAAGAATATAAGAGTATATTTTGTCTTTGTTTTATTTTAGATAATATTTTTTTGTTCGTTTTAAAAGATAAACTAATAACGTTTGGTCAAACGCCACAACATGATACATTCTATCAAAATTCATCACAACAACCATTACATATTTCACCAGAACCATCATATGGCACTCAAATTTCACTAGCATATGGAGAATATTATCCAGAATAAAATGCTGTTATCCCAGGTCGTGGACGTACGGCGGGAAACGGCCGGAAAGCACAGGAAAGCGCTGGAAAGTGGAAGCAGTATTCCAGTTGGAAGTTACCGGATTTTCTTCCTGTAGATTCCGATTAACTTCCAGATGTAAAACACAGAAAACAGACCGGAAAACACAGGAAACTGACCGGAATCCACAGGAAAAAAATCCGGTAACTTCCAACTGGAATACTGCTTCCAGTTTCCAGTGCTTTCCCGTGCTTTCCAGCCAGATACGGTGATTTTTCCGCATCTTTCCGGCCGGTTCCTACAGTATCCGTCCTCCGGAATCATTGACCTGGGTATGGCATAAATGATATGCCATAAAACATGTTGTGTTGTGTCTTTGNCCAGATACGGTGATTTTTTCCGCATCTTTCCGGCCGGTTCCTACAGTATCCGTCCTCCGGAATCATTGACCTGGGTATGGCATAAATGATATGCCATAAAACATGTTGTGTTGTGTCTTTGTTATTATATTCTCTTTCATTCTGTTACATGTTCTTTAGTTTATTCTTTGTCTTTTCTCGTCGTCTATACTTTCGTTTTTTTTGTTTTGGTCGAATAACTCTTGTTCGTTTTCTCTCTTCTCTCTATTTCCTTTTCTCATCTGAAAATGCTAAAAAGGATGTGAATAGATCATGTCTATACAATCTTTGTTTTCTTCTCTTTTGCGTAGTTTTTTACTCAGGAACAGCGAGAGAGATAAGTAAAGTGAAAAAGAGGGAGTGTGTGTGATTTTCGAAGATTGAAAATAAAACAAGAAGTTAGGGAAATTGTACCAACACATATCAACGTGATATTTAGGACCTTAACAAATGCTTTATTTGTTGAACATCCATCAACGCGTACTGTAAATAAAAGTCGGATTTTTTTATAGTATAAGATTTTCTCAATCTCAGTGAGAAGTTCATCAATGATTGATAAGATGTATCGATGAATATTTGCTGCATTTTAGTTGCTAACTGAGTGATGTTTTGGTAGACTTTTGTCAGCTGTCATGAGATCAATGAACTCAACATACATGCGAGATTTCAAATTGGTTATGCAGTCAACTGATATCTCTTGCTTCTCAACAAAACGCGAACATGTGTGAAAAGTTTTGTTATCTGGATATATCTTTTTCTTCCCTTTTTGTATTGAGATACTATAGATTCCTTAGGATATATCCCGAACTGACACTTTTAGCGTTCGTTAGAAGAGACTGGAAATGAATATGAAAAACAACAATTTCATATTATTTTTTTATAGTTATATGAACAAAATGAAGTATTTCAAGCATCTGATTCTCAAATGTTTACTGGCCGTCCTTCAGTAGATCGCAATGATGATGATGATTATCTGTCAATATCTCAGCCATTATTTTGTCCTACCAATTATTCTTTAACATAATCTAATCAACAATAACACGCCTGAATTTCATATTTTACTTCCATATTTTTTTCTCTTTGTTGCTATTGTATGTGTATACCAAAATTACAAGAGAAAAATGATTATTCTTCATCTGATCCATATGATTTATTGCTCTTCATTTGGTACATATGATTTTTTATTTGTCATTTCTCTTTCTTTCTTTCTTGTGGTTGTTGTGCTACTCGAGAGTAAAATAAACGAATCAGTTAACTAAAAACATTTGTCTTATTTTTTGAAGAGCAACCAGTACTCTTCTTTTCTTTTCTCGTTTAACTTCTTTTTCTTATTTCATTTCATTTTTTTGCATGAAAATCTATGTTTCTCTCTTCTTTTCCACATATTCACGGAAAATACACTTAAATATTTCTTTCCTTTAAGAAACAAGCAACATAACCAAAGATTCCATCCGTCGTTTTTTTTAATTTTTCTATATTGAATCATATATTAAGTAAAGCAGAATTACGTGAATTTTGTTTACAATCAACATTATTACGAGCAGCATCTTAGTCGGAGGATTCAACTTTCTATTGTATCAAAGACTACTCATGTTGTTCATCGAAATCTCTCTTTGATACATTTCATATAAATTATATTTGAAAAAGAAATATACATCTAATTGACAACATCATTTTAAATCGCAGCAAAAGTCTGCTTTATTAAAAACGAGGTACTTGTGCTAATGTATGATTGGTTACTCTAGGGGCAATCTGTATAACTGTTTGTTTTGTTAATTTTCGAAAAAAATTGACAACAAGGTGTTTGAAATCACGCCGAAAGGTTTTTGATGCTACTAGATAAATATAAATAGGTGCAGCGAAAGTGATAAATAATAATGACGATAATAATAATACAATACTACGTATGAAAAGTTCAATTTGTAAATATATTGAAAACTTTTATTTGATATTAAATAGCGACTAATTGTCATTTCTAAAAGAAGAAATGGGTATGAATTTACTGTAATAATATAAACACATATTTCAGTGATGACAATAATCAATAGCTCTGGATCTCGTCGTCGAATGGATATATTCGTAGTAGCTACATTTGGTAAAATGGGCTGAACACAATTATATCGTTTTCTCATATTCCGATAAGTTAAATAGCCAAATACACCCACTGTAAGAGGTGGAATTAAGCCAACAAATAATATTACATGAACAGAGAAAAGTGCTGAATAAGTACCGAATTGATCTCACGTTGTCCCGCTATAATTGTGGTCATCATTGCAATATGACTATAGAAAATTGGCCAAAAAACAATAGAAAGAAGTATAGTATATTTTGCTCGCATAGGCGTACTTAATCCACGAAAAATAGCACGATCGTTTGTAATCAAAAATCGATCAATACATGCTAATGCAATCAATGTTTTAGTTCGTAGACCAAGAACACTTGGCATATATGAACTTATTGATAAAAGCAATTATAGAACCAAAACGGAAAGCACTGCTAAAACTGAGCATGTCCATAGTGCAGAATATATACAAGCAGACTACTTAAAGAAAAGCGCAACCGAAACTCCCTTAGTTTTCGGAAACATGAAAGTTACTATACTTTTTCAATTAACAGAGATTTCGAAGGTATTGCTTCAAATTGTCCCTTATTTCCACTTTGCTTTCGAGACTGAACACTGTCTGACTTACGAGGGAACATTTCCAAGTGATACCCACCGTTCGGATTCATCGTTTGTTGATGTGTAGGGCTCAGTATATACTATATGAAATATCTAAAAGGGTTCGTGCCATTGCTGCACGGTTTCAGAGTTAGGAGCAAAATCATTTTTACGATAGATGGCTGTTACAGTGCGTTCTATTGTAACGTATATCTCGATTCTATCTATTCTCTTTTCTTTCCTTTTCCTTTCTCTCTCTCTCCGTTTTCCTCTATTTTCTTGTCTCTGCTTTCGTGTGCGTATATAAACATGTGTTTTCTAAAAGAATAAACAGAGAGANCTCTTTTCTTTCCTTTTCCTTTCTCTCTCTCCGTTTTCCTCTATTTTCTTGTCTCTGCTTTCGTGTGCGTATATAAACATGTGTTTTCTAAAAGAATAAACAGAGAGATAATAAAACACACACGTTTAAAGTGTTCGTGGCTCTTCGCGAGCGAAAACGCTAACATTTGACGACCCTGGCTCCCTTCATACTACTAACCACTGTGGAAGGTCGAACTGATGATTAAACCAACCAATCGTCTATGAACTGCATCGAATTTTTACAAACAATGTTGGTTATCAAATGCAAACAGAGCCTCTATCGAATCGAGACTCGTGACAAGAATCTTTCTCTCTCAATAGTCAAGTGGTTCAAATAAAATAAATAAAATAAAAAAGAAGCCATTTATATGATCATTTTAGTAATCGAACAAGCGTAAGTTCCCGATGATGGTTTGTCGGAAAAAATTCGTTTAACAAAATATGTCAAACTAATGGAATAATTAATTATTGTTAGATTTACCTTACATGATATGATTTAGCATAGCATGATCGGGGAGCATGAGTTTCCCTCACTCACTGATTATGAAGGGCTATTGCATTTAATTTGGAATATTAGCAATCAATAATTAATATTCTATTATATGAAACTTAGTATTGATTAAATAATTTAATTGATGATTTGTATCAGATTCTCATATGGCCATTGCGAATCGAAATAGAATACACGATTTCGTAATACATTTTATAGACATGGAAAATTGAAAAAATCATACATGTTTTTACTTTATGGACACGAACAAGTTGATGCGATTGAACAATATAACAATATCAAACCAGAATCATCAACCAAAAAAAAATCAGCAAGATATAACTATCAAAGCGTAAGATTTATATTCGTTCATTTTCGTATATGTAGACAAATTTTTTGTTATAACATTGAATTTCTTTTTCTTTTTCTTCCTTTTCTTCTTATATTTGTTATTAATTCGTGTCGTTGAACACGTTTTTCTCTCATATTTCTGTTTGTTATTTTGTTTTCATTGTTTCATCCTATTAACCATTTCTTTTCAAGAACTTTCTCGTGCTATATAGTTTGTTATTTTGTTTTCATTGTTTCATATATTAACAACCATTTCTTTTCAAAGATATTTTCGCGCTGTAGTTTGTTATTTTTCTTTTCGTCTGATGCTAGTCATTACCTATCTCTCGATTTCGTTATTATTTCTATCTTTCCAAAAATGTGGATAGAATACATTTTTTTGTCCAATAAGGGAGTATGTTACAGTACGTTCTACTGTAACGTATATCTCGATTCTATCCATTCTCTTTTCTTTCCTTTTCCTTTCTCTCTCTCCGTTTTCCTCTATTTTCTTGTCTCTGCTTTCGTGTGCGTATATAAACATGTGTTTTCTAAAAGAATAAGCAGAGAGATAATAAAACACACACGTTTAAAGTGTTCGTGACTCTTCGTGAGCGAGAACGCTAACAATGGTGCCATCATCTCCCGGGTCGAACAGTCCGGCCTGGAAACGGCCGGTTCCGGGTAGTGCCGTTGATTTTGTGGTAGAAGTATTCCGGTTGGAAATTTTTCTTGAGGGTGTGAGTGTGAGTGTGGGTGTGGGTGTCAGTGTATATGAAATTAAACATCACACCCACACTTATATATATTTGCTGTTTTTTTCATGTCGTATAAAACGATCTATAGATAGTGAAAAACTGCTTCGGCTGTGATAATCATTTGGTAGGTTGTCATTTACCCCAAAGCTGATTACCACAAATCAATCCCCAAATCAGATCCCCATTTAAGGTAATCAAATGAGTAAAATGGGAATATTGATTTAGTGATTTTTTGAATTCGCTAAGCGTAATAGAAACAGTTTTACGATGAATTTGGTGGCCAGAATATATCTTGGGTTACTATAAAGTGTAGTATTTGGTGGCCCACAATGTATTCTCGTTACCAGATTTGCCCAAAACTTCTTCATTATGGTAACCCAGGATACATTCTGGCCACTAGATTCATCGTAAAACTGTTTTTCTTATGTTTAGCCAGTTAAAAAAAGTCCACAAATCAATATCCTCACTTTATTCATTTGGTTACTCCAAATGGGGATTTGATTTGGGGATTGATTTGTGGTAATCAGTTTTGGGGTAAATGATAGGCATTCAATCATTTGCCTATACCAATGGAAGCAATTGCCTCTGTAGTTGCCATTGTCTTGCCGCTTTGCACTATTTTTTATCATGTCAACATAAGTGTGTTAAGATGATTAGTAGATACTTTCTAAAGACCTATTCTGGTTTCGTAACTACTTTTCCAAATGATTGGTTACAGTTTTTTTGTTCATACTACTTTCATCATCTCGTTTAATAGTAAGAATTGTGAAATTTCAATTCAGCCTGGTGAAAAACTCGACAGTATTTTATGCAAATTAATTCATTTTATTTCTTATGTTTATGATTCGTGACAAAACGAGAAAAACGACGTTTGATTTTCTTCGCCGAAAAGAAAAGTTACTCATTTTTTTTCTCCGTTTTACGTTTTAACATCAGTGTGGCGAAGAATTTCGTTTTTCGTCACCATTGATAGATTTTGAAAGGAGTAAATAAAGAGAACTTGAAAAGTCAATTTGCTTCATTTTATATGTAAACAAAGTAACTAAGATAGAAACGAATCGGCAGTAGGAGAAAATAGTATGACAAAATCTATATAAGCCTATCAACTAAATGCAATTGTCTTCACTTTTTAAAGCATAACAGTCTCTTCTGACATACTATTCGGCTTCTCTCATACTTGCTACGAGTTGTAGCCAGCAATCAATTCCTACCAGAATATCATACATACGATCATTTCATATGTGAGTTTTATTTTATATTTTTTGGCTCGCTTGAAATAATTATAAGTATTTATTTCTCTCTTCTAGTCGATTTTAGTGCTATTCTCGATCGCAACTGACACGCAAAATGTTTATCTGTAAACGCTGTTGCCCATGCTGTAAATCACCACCGAAATTACATCAAGAGCAGCATACTGATACTAAAATCCATCTACATGGTACATCGAATCCTAAGGACAAGCCTTTTGGTTTTGTTGAAATTTATCCAGGTAAGAAAATTATGTGGTGGCCCACTTTATGAAGTGATCATAATTTTTTTTAAACTTCTCTTGATGGTGTGAGTGTGTAGCTATTGATGGTTGATTTTGTGCCGTTGTTGTCAGTGTCGATGAACTGTAGCGTATAAATCACACCCAAACCATCGGTGAAATGCTATAGTCATCACCTGTAATACTATCAATATCAACTACGATGATATAGGCATCATCTTGAGTGCTGAAAGCTGTGTGCGCGTCTTGCGCTGTCACCCACATCTTGAGCGATTCCTTTAAACCCATTCTTGACACCCAGACGTGCAGGGATACCTTGAGTTCCTCATCCACACCCATACCTTTTTTCTAATGATTATTACTTGATCTATATATTCACATGCGAAATTTTAACTTTGATTGCCTCCAAATATATACCAATTCTTCTTCTAACTTTCTCTTCGATATTTGTCTTTCATTTCGTTTTTCTACTAGGCGTGAATACATCTGATAATACTTACAATTGTCCGATGCTTGCAATTCATTTATATCGTCATTCAAAAGAAACAGCGAATGTTACTGGTCAAAAAATCTCAGTGGTCCTCGATAACAGCAATAATGAGCACCGACTTCAAGAAGGTCAACAACAATATAAAGTCAAAGAAAAAGCCAATGCTGAAGTAGAACTCATACTAATCCCAGTTGAAGATGTACTACATATTAGCTCCAAAGCAGAAATTCAAAAAGATATTGAAGCTGATACTAAAGCACATATTGAACATGTTTATGAGGACAGTGAAAATTGTTGTGATCGTTGTTGTCGTAGTTTGTGCAATTGTAGTAGCTGTTGTCGTAGCTTGTGCAGTTGTGGCAGTTGCTGTAAACGTGCACCTAAAATTGCTCCTATTATAACTTCTTCAGAAACAATTACTCGTGAAACAGATAGACATCGACATTCCAATGTTCGCGTAGAAGATCTACCTGTTCCCAAAGCGAAATCTGGTTGTTTTGATTGTTGCCGCTGTTGGTGTTGTCGATTAAAAGTACTAACTCGAATTATCCGGCGAACAAAGATCGTGGCTGAAGAAGAAGCGAAGCGTTTTGTTACAATCACTATCGAATACTTAAAATATAGTAATCTTGATACGCCAACCAATACACGCCTACTTAGTGAGCAAGATCAGTTAGCGCACTACAAAAAGAAATTTGATCAGGAGCAAAAAATAGAATTCTTTTTATTCACCGACACTGAACCACAACCGACGAAGTTCGAGTCGAAGATCAAGCAAGCCGGTGAGTTCTGTCGAGCAGTGATGGGATTAAAGGGAATGAGGGGTCATTATCCATCGCCTAGTGATCTAAAGAAAATTATTGGTCCAGACGAGAATAATCGTCAAGACAAAATTATTGGTCCATCTCCTTACAGAACAATTGGAGATGTATATGAAGAACCCACTCTAAATAATCCAGTCACTCAGCTTCAAATTGCCGACAGAGGTCCTAGTCACCAAAGACAACTGCAACAACCGCCACAACAGTCAATTCAAGATGTTTAAACATTAGAACAAAATACAAGAAAGAATAACATGGATCCAACCTTCTGTTACACCATGATTGAATATGGACAACAAAGAACACTGAACTTTTACACCCACACCCACACCCACAAGAAAAAAAAAGTTTTTTATTCATTTTTGATTTAATTTAAACCGCTTTATGCATACACTTATATAGAAATGCAAACAAAACAAAAAAAAAAGAAAATTGAATATAAATCATTAAAAAAAGCTCTTATTTCGACCAAACAAATAATAAATATGACAGGCTTCCACCATCGAGTATAGCATACATATATTGACGTTCGCATTTCTACTATAATATAGACTGTGGTGTTCAAACTTTGCATCTATTCAGAATCTGACAGTGATAATATTTACACTGAGAAAAACAGCTATGAAAGGAATATGTGATTCTTTCCATAAGAGTGTTTTCAGTTTTTCAAAAACTGCAGGACACAAAGGCGCAGTAGAAAGTGAGAAAAATATACTTTACCATTATGTCTCAGTCTTTATAAAAATTCACAGTGTGCTTAATGTGGTGGCGCATCATAACGGTAGTGATTACTGATCGCCGAAGTGAAGTTTGAAACTCGTTGTATACTTAAATGTATGAGAACAGCGTGACTCTACTCAAACAGTGTAAATCACTTTTTACTTCATTTAAGAGTTACAATACAAATGATGAACAAGATTACCATAAATATATCAACAATGATATGAGTCAATAATATTCTACCAGTGAAAAGCAACGTTAGAATATGATGATGTTCGCTAATTTATATAACATTACTATTTTCACTACGTCAAAGCGTAGAACATCAGTTGATATTAACTATTATATGAAGAAAAAGATCAGGAGTATTGCTACATCTTTCGAAAAAACACTATTTTTTTCTAATCACAGTTCTGTATAATTAAAATTAAAATTTACACCATCCTACGAAGCATTTATGCACTCAATTTTTGATTGTGTATTAAAAATTTTCACATCTTCAAGATCTTTTGTGCTTATTTGTTCAATCTGTTCCTAAAAAGATCAATAATCAAAATCACAAAACAAAAAAATGAAGATTCTCTCATACCCACTGATAAAACGGATGAACACATTCTCTAATATCAATAGATGCTTTCGTAAGATCAATTCATTGTAATAATATATTCTGGATGTATGATCGCGAATGATCAGCGAGTTCGCGCATGATAATATCCCTAGCTTCTTTTCGCATCACCCACACAGTTATTTGCACATTTTAGGTGTTTGCATTCCTATCTTAACTATACTAAAGCCCATTTTTAACGCTTGATATGAGAGGAAAGGAAATACACTTCAAGGAACCGAGGGCTCCCAATCAATCTATTGTGATCGACCCCTAAAATCTTTGTAGACATGCTACGAGGCAAATATGGTAGAAACACGCGATCTGTTGACATTTATCGCGCAGAACAACATAGATGATAAATCCTTTCTTGTTGTGCCAAAGGACCGGAATTTCGTGATGACGTACCCATTGACACAAATACATCAAGGGGAAAATTATTCTACTGTCGGCTCATAAAATCGTATCATTTCGAGTCATGTAATATAATTCTGTGATTATACGGCAAGACATTTGATGGAAATGCAGATATTCGTAAAAGTCAGCCGACTCCTACTACTGATATTGGTATGTTATGAAAATTTGCTCATAAGTATTTTCGTTCTTTTTACTGAACCGAAGAAAATTAACCTGATTATTAATTAAATAAAAACTAGAAAATAATCAGTTAAGAAAAGTTCCAGGCTTTGACTTTTTAATCAGTAAAAATCTATGGGGAAAAAATCACTATTTCGCATTTCTATTTTTGTAATCGGTGTTTGCTTGTTTTGGCTCGAAAAACATTTTAGTCAACTTTTATCTAATGTTATTGTTTATCAAAAATAAGTTTGTCTCTAGTGAATAAATTCATTTGATACACTATGATTTTTACTCGACGTTATGACCCTTGCATTTTTCCTGTTGAAAAATCTAACGCTCAATATTGCACTTGCGTTCTTAACTTATATAATTAATTCAATTTGTACATCTACGTATGTGAGACTATACTGATTTCCTGTTAATAGAAAATTCGTTAAGTTTAATTATTTTCTTGCAAATATTCCTTGCATACTTAATAGAAGAATATTTATTTTCAAAATTCTAACAAAATGAAACACTTTTTTATTTATTTTTTTCAACACAAATAAAGTCTAATTATCGATACATTGTTGAATTAATTAAAGGTATTTCAATAAGAAGCATTCCATCGTCCATAACTTGTGAGGTAACATTATATCGATTAATTCCATCAGGTAAACGAACACTTTCACTAAAGTGTTTAGTGTCATTAGTATTTTTTGTTGAACTCTTTTTTCTTCCTTGCACTAATAAATTTTCATCAAGTAAACGCACTGTTAATTCGTCTGGTTCATATCCGCGAGTATCCACTTTCAATGTTAATTTTTTACCATTGGCTGTAAATAGCGGATGAAATTTCGATTGCAAAAAGTCGGCAATATTGAAGGGAGATGAAAATTGGCGTTGATCCATGTCCATAAGACTGCCAGCACGTTTTGGCACTGTTGTTGGTCCTAATCGAGACATTTGACTATTGTACTGGGTTACATCAGCGTGCGAAGCTGAACGATCATAATCATGTTTATGAGCACTTGTTGGGTGCTGATCAATTGTTTTCAATAATTCTTCATGTGAACGTCGTGTTGCATCATTATCTCTTAGCATAGGTATATCAATTGTTAATATACCATTATTTCGTATGATAGAACGAATTTTATCGATATCGGCACCGGGCGGTATAGGAAATGTTTTAACTAATTCTTTACGAAAAAAATTATCTGCAGCGAATTGATCAAGATGCAAAGCATGTACGAGTAAAGTGTTATCACGTCGAAGTTTAACGGCTACTTCACCACGAGCGAATTCCGATACATTTACTTCGATACGAGTTGTTTCGGATAATGGCGGTGATAAGTTTTGCATATTGTAAACTATTGATTTTCAGGGTTTATATTAATGTAAAATCTATGAATGAAAGAAAAATATGCAATTTTTGTTTTTTGAAACGAAAACCACGTAATATTTATTTAAACACTTGAGTCGTGGCTGGTCCGACGGTCGCAATTTTGAGACGCTGTTAGTAGAGCTGGAGCTTTTCCACATAAGTAGACTATATACTAATTAAATTTTCTTCTATGTTTGCGTACGAGAAAAGCAAGAACTATTTACATTCATGTTTGAAAAAATTACAATCATAAAACCCCTAAGTGAGATTTTAGTTAAGCAGAGAACAAAAAAAAATTTCTTAAATATTAGAGGCCGGGGTTGACACAACCCTCACTTGAGTAAATCGATAGATGTGTCACAAGATGAATCTGTTCCTATGAACTTTTACTTCTTATCAAGGAACGGCGATGTACATTTTCCTAAATGCCCTCAAGCGATCACTTTTAATGAGAAAAAACAGTGTCAAAATTACAGGTGTTTTACTGTCTTTCTTTTTTTATCCTATATTAAACGCAAATCTGCTTTAAGTTTAATCAGCCAAGCTTGTCTTTCATTATCAAAAAATGACGCTCAAGTAAAAATCTCTTCATTATATATTTGAAAATTCAGTGCTGTTAAAAAAATCTCTTTCTGCGTTTTCCGGCAATTTCCGGTGAACGGAAAACTCGATAATATTCTATGCTATATCGTTCTGTGAAAGGAGAGAAGAAAAAAAAAGTTTCTCGAACATTCAATAACAAGTCACTTTGCTATTTTCTCTGTCTCTGTTTTCTTGTTTAAAACCAAAAAAAAGAAGGAAAGAGCTTTTGTAATAATAAGAATAAACTCAAGATTATAATATTTAAACAACTGTATGTATCGATCGGCTTTCAAGGATCTTTTTTACTTTTAATCTGATATTTAACTTAATCGATCTTGTATTATTCTTTCTACATGGATAAACGATATTTGAGTAGCTCTAAAAGAATTTGACATTCAAGGCCTCCTATGATGATGTAAGTAAAACTTCATTAAGAAAGATAAAATTATTATCTAAAGAAAAGCACAAAAAAAACTCAATAATTTAGTTACAAGATATTTCTTTTACTCACTGAATCGAATGATTTGCATGACTTTTTATAACCCTTAACATTACTCGACATCTTGTTGTACGCAACCGAATTCGATCCTACTTTGTTTCTCTTTCAGTTACATTTTTCTCATGATGACTGTATGTTTTTGACTAATAAGTTTCGAAGATTAATAATATTCCGAACAGCTTGTACGCCATCATAATAACAAATTCAAGGTCTCATATAAAAGATGACAGTAACGCGTGTTTTGTTATTCGAAACACAAGAAAAAACCACAGGCTCTGTCCTAAATTGCATATTAATATGCATAGAAAAAGAATATAGAATCGAGTTTGTTCTATAAAAAGAGAAGAAATAAAAAAGAAAAGAAAGTTTGATGGAAATTTTCTATTATTATTGATTTTTGCACGGAAGAAAAGGGATTGTTCAAATAGTTATTGCCAAGGATTATTACATAGTAATTACATATGGGTTTAGTTGTTATTTTTAAACTAGCATATTACTCTCGTTGTGGTTTGTTACGGACCTACCTACCTGTTAGAAATAAAATGTCAAACGTTCTTTTTTTTTCTTCTTTCTTTTTTTTTTGCACTTTGCTATTCATGAAAAAGAAAGGCACCGCATAAAGTAACAACAGGCGTAATAATGTTTTTAACTTTACCTCAACGAATGTAAAAGACTGTTATTGTTGACGTCACCAATATGCCTAAGATACACGTTTTTTTCATCGAATTCGTCAATATTATTGAAAGAAAATTATTTTTCAAGTTGGCTTGCCACCACTTTCATCGATAGACCACTAATGAGTTCTCTCTATCACGCTCGCCTTCTTCTTCTTTTTTTCTAACAGCCTGCCGGCACAGAGTAAAGTAACATGTTTTATGTGGAGAACGTGTGTGGCTTTTTCTTTCACTCGTCTCATTTTTTCTTTTTCGATAGCAAAAAATAACTGAAGAAAGGAAAATGGCGGCAATCATTGTAGCTCTGTTGCCGGTTGCCAAAAAAGAAAAACTCCGAGCTGATGAGCAGCAACAAGAAGACGAAGGGAAAAAAGAAAAGAAAAAAAACATGGTGAACCAGACGAGAAGAAACTATTCATGAAATGACTCTCGGTTTTTTAATGTCCCTTTGTACGAGCACAATGCCAAATGTCTTTTTTTTTATCATTTTCTTCTCGCTTACTTATAAGACTATAAAATGTGTGCAGCATGCCACTCGATTATTTGAATGTCAACAATGAAAGCGCCGCTTTTCTTTCAAGTAATATACATCCAGGCATATAAATATATACTGTGTTTAAAGAAGTGTGTACATACGTCTCAAAGTACTTTGTTGGTTGTGTTCTATGGTGTGTGTAATCAAAGTCAATATTTAGCTTAGTAATAAAGAGGGAATATGAAGGACATGTGCTTTATCAATAGCACCCGCATGTCTTGAAACAAAGCAAAATATTTCCTTTTTTTACTTCAAAAGATGAATAAAAATCAATGAAATTATTCAGTATGACAGTTTTTAGCTTTTTTTCTTCTTGTTTAAATAAAATGTTCGCGCAAATACCCAACGGATTTGATTACAAAAGCCAATGATCAAGAAAATGCGAACCTTGTCGCTTGAATGAGCATAAATTATCGTTGGATTAACAGTTCTTCGTCTATCAACAATTGATTGTTAGTTTGTTGTTATTTATTAGAGCAAGTCAAATTGGTGATAAGAAAATGTCATCATTATTACTTTCTGTAGGGAAAATTTTTTCGAGTCGAGCTTTTATTTTTTGGAATAATAATTCGAGCGAAATAAATGAATTATTCTCCATTATCAAGGGAAATCTAACTCTATGACATTTTATTTTATTATGCACATTTTCATTACACACTTCAACAACAAGATGGATCATATCCGTTCACAAGGAATTTTATATAAGGCATGTGTCTGTCTTATTTTACGTTGCTACGCAAACTAGGGAAGAGAAAGTGTTTTTAAAAATTTTTTTAAATAAAAGAAAAGTTAAAAATCCATCAACACAAAAACAAAGCACTTACAGGCTTTGTTATGAACTGTAGTAGAAATTTTTCGAAAAATTATCTAGTTTAAATATTCTTATCTTATCACTAAAAATTTTCATTCATTTCTTTTTAAAAAAAAAACTTCCAACATAAGTCCGGCTGAAAAAATTAAGAATAAAAAAATATCTAAGAACGACATTAAACATGGTAAAATGAGTCCTGCAAGAAATTTTAGGCTATGAAAACAATTCAAATATTTTCTTTTTGTAAGAAAAATTATATTTTTCGGTAAATGTTTTCACCTAAAAAGATATCGATTGCATTGGCTGTACTTTCAATCATTCATAATTGCCACACCTTGACATTTCGTTGTATAAATATTTGCAATTCTTTTCAAATAGCTCTTTTATTTATCTTAGGGAATGGTAATATTTTTTTAAGTTGCGCTTTCTTATTTACGTTGTAGAACGCGAAAATTTCTGTTTACTGTTCTATAATTATGTTCCATGGCACCAATGAAAATTTGTTTTTTTGACAATTAACTATGCCACGATGTTTTTCCCTTCGAACCCGATTAATAGTGTTTTTGTCTTTTAACTACATGAAGATATCCTCTTTCAAAAAGAAAATCGACATATTGCTGATTATGCGCAGAGAAGTGAGATTTCATTTGAGAATAAAAGTGTTACTTTTTCATCTGATTCATCACAAGTCGCAGTTTGATGAAAATGAAGCTAAAAAAACCCATCGTTGAACCTTGTAGTAATTTTCATATGCTCACACGGGCTTCATATGACCATGATGAAGTTCAGAAGCTAGCAAATAATTTCCTGAAGACTGATTCTATTACATATATGAAGTTAAGACTCGACTATTTTTAATAAATTAAATGAATTTCTTTTCTTTATTAACATGCATACAATGAAATAAAAACATAAATCTCGCTAGAAGAAACTAAAACTATTTCATTATTCACATTTACTGATTCGATCAGATTGCAAACGTAAGTCTAATGGTTGATCATATTCAACTGTATTTGTGGTATTGGTTAGCTGAAATATTCAAGCAAAATTAGAATAGATAATTATATTGCATTTATTTTCTTACAGAAACTGCACATTCTGTAATGATCGGCGTAATAGTAGGAGTCGTAGATGTCGGTGGGCATTCTTTAATTACTTTTTTTTTAATACCTCGTTTACGCGGTATGACTAGAGAGAATGCTGTTCGTTTTCGTGGGCATAATAACTAAGAAAAAAAAGAAGTTCGGTGACGAAATAAAATCTGAGCGAACAGATTTACTGGTACGTTTTTAGATAGATTATCTTTAAAAAGATTATTTTCAAATAATTTTCTTTGAGTTTGTTCGTAAGACATTTTCGACGAATGACGTTGCCGTTTTAACATTTGTTTTGATTTCGCTAAAGATGAAAAACTTGACGAAATGAAATATTGTATTACAATTTTTTCTCTACCATAATATTCATCGAGTGTTATTAAGCCGACACCACGAAGAAAACATTTGATCTAGATTGACAGGTAATAATTAGATTATTTTTATAGTCTATTAGTTATACTTCTTCGGGATCGGCACCGGAACTGAAATCATTCTCCATCTATCTAAAATACTGAAAAGAATATAGGTGTTAGCCGATGAAATGCATCGCATTGCTTTCCTTCTGGCCCATAAATTCACTGGACGCAAATATCAGATAGCTAGAATTTACCGCAGTCCTTCGACAATCACAAGCAAGATAATTGAAATTCAAACCGTAGCTATTGAGAAATAACATGAAAAGCAAAGACGTACTACACAATTTGCCACACCGTTTAGTAACGATGAACATGAACACGGAGCTCAATTAAATATAAAACCGAAATCTTCTAAAAATCTCTTAGCGAAATATGATCTAGTTGCAGTTCTCAATTATAATACGGTCGTTTTATTCTATTTATTTAGGGAAAAAATTCTGTTTCCTCGCTAAGGGAGTAATTCAATAAGAACGAAGAAAATATTGGATCACGCGCGGGAATAACAAATAATTGCGTTAAGATTTTCAGCACATATTTTTCATTATTAGCAGATTTTATGAAGCTGCAAGGAAGAAACAGACAGTTAGGGACGTAACGAGACTGAAAATGGAATTTTTGCCTTATCATAAAAAAAACAGTTGAAGCAGCTGGTGTCCGTAGAACAAAATATTTTCTACAATATGTGATTCAAGTTCTATTAAAGTTTTACGGAAGGTCTAAAATCAAAGAGTCCTGCTAGTATCTTTAGTAAACATGTAACAGAATTTGAATCATCACGCATTCTCTAGAAAAGTATTGGAACCGAACCGGTTTTCGAAGCTGATTTGAGTTAGACAAGCCTCGTTGCTTTGATTTTTGCGAGAGCTAAGTTCTCCTCAACTTTCCGTCATCAACAAGCAACTGGTTTTTTCCAACATATTCGCTTATTGAAAAAGAAAACAGAACATAACAACAACAGCAACAACAACAACAACAACAAAAACCTGAAATTCAATCTTCAAGTTCTCCTTCTTCGTCATCAGCGAATGTATAATTTTCTCTAATTTTTGCGGTTTTAGCATATTCGAATTGTTCAACACCGAAGGCATTCGACATTAAATTTGTTCGTTGTGATAAATCATCATTTTTTAAATGTCCAAAAATAAATCCATTTGCTTTGTCAATTGTGTTATTAACTTTTTCAATACTTAAACGGTCTTGAACATTTAATGGTATATATGAAACGAGACTATAATCTTGAATAACTTCACATAATGCTTTATTGAAATTGCGAAATTTTTTTGCAAGCTTCGGTTGAAATTTATCTTTGTTAAAATTTTTATTTTTCATTAAATACGATAAATCCAAGACTTCCGTATAAAAATCAATATTGTATTCTAATGAACCATATCGTTCGATAAGGTCAATTTTCGATAGTATATTAACATGTGGCAATTCTAAATGTAACATCATTGATAACGATGTTAATAGAGCACTTATGAAATTTGATGAATTCGAACAATAATAAGAATCAATTAAAGTAACACAACACAGTCTTAAATCGACACCTTTTACTAATTTTTCAATGATGTGATGAATTGAACCATGATGTGTATAAAGTTCGATTTGTCCCGGACAATCGAAAAGAATATACGGCGGAGGTAATGACGATGAATGTTTATCAACTAAAGATCGAAGACGTTTTAATAGCCAATCAATATTATTTTCAATGTATTCAATACAGTACATCAATGCACCATTTGGGCCTAAATTGAGATTATCGCAAACATCATCAACTGTTATCAAATCAACGAGATCTATTGCACATTCATAGGGCATCTCAATATTAGCTGCATCTAAATTAACAATATAAACATGACGACTACTGCCATCGGCAATACATTTGTTATAGTAATCTTGTATAGCTGCGCAATATGTTGTTTTTCCTAAAGAGAGAATTCTTTCAAAAATAAAATTGTTTTCTTATTTCATTTATTACCACTTCCTGGTGGACCAACAACAATTTGACCGAAGACAACAGGCATTAGTAGCTTTTTGTTTTTAAATCTAAAACCAGCTACAATCTTTTTGCATTCGCCTTCTTCTTGATAAAATAATCAATGACAGAAATCAATAGTATATTTTTATTTTCTTTTAAAAGTATGCACGAACACGCGCAACAACAACAACAACAACAACAACAACAAAATACTCGTTAACGTCAAATAAAATCAAATCACACAGATCAAAATAATGGAATCATATAATAGACAACAGCTACTGAAGAATGACTATAATCTTCATTACCCAGTTTTTCGTAAAATAGACTAGAGAAATAGACGTAACAAGAAAGAAAAAAAATAAAGCAACACTTGAGATGTTTCTTTTGCCTTTCCCAAAAATAGAATAAAATCAAAAACAAAATTATGTATACGTAGTTTCACAATAAATAAAGAAATATATATATGTATAATCTTTTCCCATCCATCACCAAATAAATAAAAACAAAAAACAAATGACTAGATACATTGTATACAGAACAATAACGATCGATTATTCAATTAGATCTTTATTATTCATAAAGCGACGAACAGATATATTTATTGGTAAACGAAAATCAATTGATTTCAAACGATCCAACGAATGCAGTGCATCATTAAAACCTTTTGTAGACAAAAAGCAAACTTCAAAACAAATTAAATTCAACAATTATTTCTTCACCTGTTTTTTTCGTATAACTCCAAGGTTGATAATAATTCTCTACTAATGGCATCGTCTTGAGAATAATACGTAGAAATGAAACAAGCTTCTTCTCACTAAATAATTTAAAAAAAAACGAATTAATCAGTTCGGACCTCCGCACGGGAACAAAAGGCGGACTCTATTTTAATGTCTTACTTTAACGCAAAACATACAAATGATTTAAAACAGCTGTCCATTGATTTATTATGCTTCTCATGTAATTTAACTATATTATCGATACCACTTAGTAGACACTAAAAGGTTAGATTTTAGACATGAATGAATAAAAGTTCATGTACAAAAAATACCTGTTTTAAGGTAATCGGCTTGCCACCAATAACATCTAAAGAAAACGACTCGGAAAGTTTACGAGCTGGACTATTAGCAAATTCATTCCCATGCTATCAAATAAAAAGACATTTAAATATCGTTTTCACTGCTGTAGGTTCTTCTTACTTTCATTTCGTAATATTTCAAGAATAATTTCCAAGCATGCATTGTATCATTCGCAGTTGCATAATTAGCTCTCGTAGAAAAACAACCCCAAACGGCTAAACTTGTTGAATAATTCGTCTGAATCAAAAGCACAATTCATAAAAAAAAGATAATTTCAGAGAGTTTTTCCCGTACTTCATAAAGACCATGTTCAATTAATTCACGTAGGGCTGGTATAAGATCTTGTCGAACAGCTAGAACAACTATATTTTGGTCATAATCTTCCTAATAGAAAGAAAAAGACCAACTAGGACTTTTGAATAGAAAAAATCTTTCAAACGAACTTCTTCATTATCGCTTGTTGTAATTGATGATGAATTATCATCATTGTCATTATTCAAATAAGTATGACTATGTCTTGCATATGCATTTGCTGATCGTACGACATTAATAACTTTTTCAATGGCGACTTCGAGCTTTGCCAGAAGATCACTAAAAGTAAAAGAAACCTACTCAATATTTCAATAATAAATTTTATTCGATTTTACCCATAATGTTTTTTAGCTACAACATCTTTTTTCATAGTCGGTGCCGGTTGGTTTGCTTTTTTTTGCATAGACCGTGTGCCACATGTTAACAATAAGAATGTATATAGTTGAGTAAGTATAAGAACTTTTTTCATCGTTTGAGAAAAATTTGCTTGACTGTCAGAAGATAATTTACTTGTTGGTTGACGCATTTTCAATGGACTTGCTGTAGTTGTCTAAGAACAAAAAAAAATTTCTTTATGATTGATCAAGAAAAGAAATAACAAACCGGGTTTGATTTCGTAGGTGTAGATTTTGATGATTCGCTACTTTTCTTATCGTTTAATGTAGGAGGTAATGAAGTAGCAGCGGCTGCAGCTGAATCAGCTAAAAGCATGAAATGTAAATAATGAATCAATAAAAGAAAAAACTTTTATGTTTACCTTTAAGAAATTCGATAAATTTTTCTAGATCGTTTATTTGAGTTCGCATTTGTGTTATTAAATTTTCTTTTAGTTTTACTGGATTAGTTAACTAAAATAGAAATCTATGTTAGAATAATAGTTTTTTTTATAACAAAGTTAAAAGAACAAACTGCCACAAGATATTAATGCAGTGAATAGAAAAGTGATCATTAACCTGTATATTCATAGATGTACCAACTAAAAATACACAGGTGAATAAATCACCGATGCTAGTCAAGGTAACTATACCATTTGACACATATAGGAGAGAAAAACGGAGGTGAAATCAATTTACCTGATGAATAGCTTGATCGACAAGTTTTCTTAATTCTTCGGCTCTAAATAAAATTATACAAAAAAAATGAATTTTTCGATTTTGTTTTAAAAATGCATACGAAAGTTTTGAAACCGAAGCATCATCTAATTGTAAATCAAGTTTTGTACGCAATTGATCAATTAGTACACGTTGTTTTTCCATTGTTACAGATGTCGGTACACCTTCTAATGAACCAGACGCAGCTGCATAACGTTCTAATTCGTCGAGTTTTTGTTTTAATTCGCTAATAAATTCTTTTTCACGTAATTTTTCATTTTCAATTAATTCTTCGTTCGTACGATCATTTGTATACATCGATGATCGACACATAACATCAGGTATGCCACTTGATGCAAATTCATGTAGTTCTATAAGTAAATTCTGACGAGAAAACAAACAAACAAATATAAAATATTTATGAATATTGATTTTCATACTTCACGATCTTCAGCTGTTGGTGCAGAAACAACTTGTTGAAGGCGCAACTGTACATGAGCAAAATGGCGAGTTAATGCAGAAAGTGATGCGTTTAATCGTTCGTGTTCTTCAAGTAATTCGACTTTTTCATAAAATTCTTCGTTGGCACTAAAAATGAAATTTTTAGAAGCAAACTTCTAAATCTAACATATGGGATAAACCTTTTGCCGTATTCTGTATCTGATGAAGCCCCACCTATGGGTGTCAATCGTCCAGTCATGGGTAATTTGTCATCACTTGAATCTTCTTGTAGCATGTTTCAGATCAATGAAGAAGAAAAAAATAGCATGCATAACATACGCCTACTCATTGCAATGACGTAGATGATCAACATAAGTTTTGCAATGTCTGATAGCGCTGTATCACATAATTGAATATACATCAATGGGAGATTTTTATTTAAACAAATTGATTTATTTATATTGAAAAAAGTTTGATTAACGTTTTAAAATTTTGTTTAACTTCAAGTCGTTGATAGATGTCGCTAATTTATGAATGCAATATTTCTAAATGTCAAAATCCCTTCCGAATGTGTCGAATATTCATTGAAATCATTTGTATCATTTTATGAGACGGATTATGATGTCACTGAGTGGGTCTCTTCATTTTCTTACAGGACTGTAAATTAGCTTCGTATGACGAATGAATTTTATTATCCTACTCAGATTTTATAGCAGTTCCTAGGTGCCCTATATATTGTATATTCAATGCTTACGATCTTCAAACACGACCTCCCGACGTGTTTAAAAAAAAGCTATTTATATATGTTACGACCACTTATAACCTTTTTTTTTATCAAAATTAGATTGTAGAAATCTTATGTTGTGTTCTGTTCTTCTTTTTTTTTTGGGAATGATATTATTGTACAACATTAGTTCTTATCAAAAAGAGAAATTTACAGATAAAGATTGCATCACATTCACATATCGAAGTAAGCTTCTTTTTCCACTTTCTCTGATAATATTTGTTGATTTATCAAGGTAATCTTTTTTCTCCTGTCGTAAAGTCATGCAATTTGTGACGTTATCAATCAGTAGACCTATCTAGATTTGATTAGTTATTTCTGCACAATGTGCCAATTCTTTCTTTTTTTTATACCCACCACTTATGATGCAACAAAAAATGCCTGCCATATTTTTTTAAATTCACACTTGTAAAATTGTTTTATGTGCATATAACATAAGTAGAGCATTTTTTGAAGAGACGGACCAATTTGTCTTACTTAATTTCGTATATGTGAGATAAAGAAAAATCTTCGACGATAATCAAAATTACGAATATAAAGAAACATTTTCATCCAAACATCTCTCTGTCTCATTGAAAAACGTCATATTTATCAAATCAATGAATAAATAAATATCCATCCGAGCAGAGAAGAGAAAGAAAAACAGGACCGAAATGAAATAAAGAACATTTCATTCATGTGTTGACTTATGTTATCATACGATAAAATTTAGACATAAAAAAGTCCAAACGACAACATAAGAAAGCAAAACAAAATTCATGGAACCATTCACACCAGAAATATTAACTTCTGTTGTACTTATTGCTATTGTATTGTCAGGTGTAACATTTGTTGCACTCACAATTCTTATTATTTGCTTAATACGTTCTAAACGTGGTAGAGTGAAAGCTGAAATTGATGATAATGATAATGATGACGACGACGATGACGATGATGATGGTGATGATGATGATGACGTATCACTACCAGCAACATCTAAAGATTCATCTCATACTCGTTCGCCCTCTATCTCGCCTACTCTATCATCACCATCAATTCGAACTCCTGCAGGCCAAACTCCTATGGTTCAAATTCCACAAAAGAAAAAACTGCCATCAGCGGCACCCAAACATCGGTCTCGTGTAATTTCTGTTACAGATGAATATTCTTCTAATGATCAAATGAAACATAAACATGCATATAGACATGACGCAAGTTACGATACGATAATTACGAATGATAGTAGATTACAAAGTTCACAACCTCAACAAAAACAACAACATGCAAAACTATTTAAACCAGTAATAGAAGGTAATTTCGTCACTCGTGAAACACCCTATCCACCTGATATTATTAAGCGTGAACAATTTATGATCGCGACTCGTGGAAATCCAAATGATAAATATGTTTAATAATAATGCAAGTTGTATTTACAAACAACATGACAGCTGTTGGATTGATTCGATTAGTTGCGGTCGCTAAAATTTGACAAAAAAGTGCATTTGATTACCGTTGCTTTTTTAAATAAAGAAAAGCTAGAAATACGGTTTAACTGGAAGTAATTAGTGATTCTTTTTCATGAAAATAATTCGTTAGTTTTACAGATCTAAATTATTAAATTTTTCAATGAATCAAAACTTTGATTATACTCTCCTAAAGAGGGGTGTGGCCTCCCCCATGCTTTTGAAAAAAACTGTGTTTTTAGAGATATGCTACTGCTGGATCTGTAAGAACAACGATCTTGCTTCTGATTTTTCGAGTTTCTAGAGTAGTGATTTAAGTTTGATTCAATGACTATGCCAAACTCAGTCCGTGCGATTAAAATAATGAGAAAAAAGAACTCTTCAATGAATTCCATTCGCAATTCATATGATTTTCAGCTTGTGACGAGTTGAGGATTCGCTTTTTTTGCTCTGCTAATTCGCGAATTAAAATCTTTCAAACCAAGATCTCTATTATTAATTTTTGAACTCAGTACTTCCATTAGGTTTTCTTAAGTTATTCCATAAATATTCAATTGAGCGCCCAAGGGTATAAGTAAAAAATTGAAAGCAATTATTAACAATACGAACCCGTTTACAATAATCAATAAAATCATTTACTGTTATTTGTTCATTGTGCATCGGATCAATACACTAGAAAAGAAAGAAGAAAAAGCCAAATTCTCAATAGGAATCGAATATTAAGCTTCCTTTGTCTTGTTTAACTATCTGAAAACTTTATCATTCCTGTCAATCATGTCCAAGACAGTTATGATCTAGTTAGATAGACTCGTACGTACGTGATGAAAATACAAAAGCAGATGTCGCTTCTTTTGATAATTACAGGCAAATTGTTTTATTCTATCTGTATTATTGAATACATCTCTTTTTCATTCTTAAGCCACCAGAAATATATGAGAATAAAATTTTATCCGTATGAGTTGTGTAAACTCAAAAAATATTCCTTTTAACTTCTATGGATATCAAACACATACTTCGAATACTTCATCGACATGTTTCTGAATGTCACGTTCGATAATGGCTAAATGGCCCGATGAGCCAACAAGTTCATTGAGTGACAAAATAATTTCACTGATATTCTAAAAAATAAATCTATAATATTGACGACGATGATTAAAGATATTCTCATACTGCTCGTGTCAAATGTCCTTCACCAGGAAAATCATAAAAACGAAAAATCCATCGTAGTTTTTCCTCGATCGTACCACGGCATAGTACAGATAACGTCAGAATGTAATCCTATAAAAATAATTGAAATCAATACGAATGAAAATCTTTGCAAAAAATTTACATCAAATGTAAATGTTCCTTTATGATTTCGATCGATCATGGAAAATAAATAATGAGTATATTTCGTTACATCTATAGATTAACAATAATAAATTATTCTTACATTTTTTTATTTCTTTCTATCTATGACTTACTTCCTTGTGGAAAAAATTGTAAGTAGATTCCGCGTAATCTTTCTTCATTAACATTTCCACCGGGACAGTCCTTTAAAAAAAATGCTAAATAACTCTAATAGACAAAAACCAGAATTGATTTTCTACTTGTTTAAAACTTCGATAGAGAAGACGAATTTCAGATTTTGAAAAACGTGTACATTTCATTATCTCTTCTATTGATCGAGGCTGCTGAAGATTTCTTGAAAGTAACGCATCCAATTGTAAATCTAAATTGTATCAACAACAAAAAACAATCAATATATAGTTTTCATCATTATTTTTTTCTAAAAACAAATATACCTCGATTGGTTTTTTTACGTTTACCAAAATTAATACTACCCTGCCCTTGAGAAAACGAAGCTATATTAGCACCCATACTTTTTCTTAAACACCATGGATAGCGAATAAAGAAACAATTTAAAGTGAATCAACATTTACAGATGACTATCTTTAGTCTGTTCGTTGATTCGACTATTGCTTTCAGATGACAAGATGAGATCGATAGATGATGACATTGCCGACGAGAGAATGACATTTTGTTCGCTCTTTTCGATTATGATCGTTAATTCTACACAACTAGAAAGATCCCCACATGTGAATTATCCGACTCGATATACATGAAGAATTGTAGTAGAATAAAAAAAGAAAGGAAAAAGGCCACGAGCAAATCTATAAAACGTCTGGTTCCAATTGGATATATTATATTGACATGAATGTTATCTCTATGATCAACGTCTTTTATCCAAAATACACAATATATCAGAGAAGAGAATTGATAACTCGCAATCGCTATGCTATAATAATATACTTAATCTTTCGTCGATTATTGGAAACAACTCGTCGAGAAACAAAAGTTATTATTAGTTATAGTAATATTTGTTAATGACTTGTCAAATTTTTATTAGATATTAAAAGTAAATGGTATCAGTGATGAATGAACAAAACTAACTGATGTAAATTCAAATCATTTATATCCGAGCCATTTCTGATTATTCGATTATCATAATAATGAAATAAATTCTATTATAAATAAAAAAAAGAATTTCTCTCACAGAATTATCGAGAGCGTCTAAAAAGTCGGCAATGTGTGAAGAATGTTTCGTATGCAAGAGAAAAAAAAACGATCAAATGCATAGTTTTAGATCTTGTAGGAACTAGTGCATCAAACAATATACTTAAACAGATGGTTCAAGCAAAGGAAACTTTTCAAAATCGATTATCATGGGAACGTAAACAATTTTTTCATTAAGTAAAAATGCTTCAAAAAGCAATCTCGAAGCTTTCTTGCAAATAAGACATGACATTTCCTTCCCGCTAGACAGAAGTACAAGTTAAGAGCTTTTTCATAGTGTTACTTTAATGTATTTCTTTTGATAAGTAAATAGAGATAGAATTTTAACACTCAGGAAATGACTTTTGTATGCGAATCGATAAAAAAATTTATACTCAAGAGACTCAGAATAGTATACATATTGTTTTAATCGCTTCTGGTTCTTTCTCATGTGCATAGATCAGATACATTCTGAAGGTAGACATTAGTCCAATCGAGATTTACAGTACGTTCTAGGTTTCAGGTGAAATCATAAAGCACAATCAGCAATCGCTAATGCCTGTGTTTTGAAAATTCGTTCATTAATCATAAAATTTCTCTATTAAAAAATTAGACAATCAACAAAGCAATAGACGAAGAACGTCATTTATATGATAAAAAGATAGGTTTCTCTAAGAAAATATTTTACCTGATGTATTTTTACGGCTAACAACTCGAAAAATTCCGGTACTTAACCGTCGTGAAAAACGTTTACAAGTAGCGATGATACGAGATGTTCGCCGATCAGGTATGGCCAATGTTGCATGATACCAGGACATGATCAATTCGCAGGGAACCTATCTAAAATAGTCATATAAGTCACTTTATTGGCCGAGTTCGATAAATGGAACGATGCTCTCTAAGTTACACTACTTTTTCATATGTTATTATAGTTTGTGTTTAGACAAAACACAAATAGTAAAGAGACAAAAGCGAGAAGAAAAAAATCCGAAAAAAGACCTAAGTGACTTTCACAACTACTAATGTCTCATCTCTTTTTTTCTCTGCTTCTTTTTTTTTGTAGAATCTGTTTGATTAGCTATCGTCACTTTTTTTCTATGATTGAATTTATGCAGGCTCATGCTTACATGAAGATGGGTTTTAGTAGCAGCATGATTGCGAGGCTTCATGAAGATTTATATTTATTGGCCATCATCATTTTTCAATTTGTTTTTCTGCCGTCGATATATAGATGCAATTAGTTTATTTTGGCTTCAGACAAAAGATTAACGAGAAATCTAAACAATAGGTACTATGTCATCTATTGGCACAATAGGAATACATGCTGATTATAATTGAAAGATAGAATGAAATCTTTCCTCCACTTGACTTCTTTCCCTATAATTACTCTATTCTTCAATGATTAGGTTTTGTAACTATCCAGAGAAATAATAATAGCATAGATCTCTGTTCATAATCAATTAACATCAAAAGATGAAAACCTATGATTATAATAATAATGTTATCTTTTAGTTGAAAATATAGCTATTATGATAAAGTGTCAATCTGAGAGAATAAATTCTATCGGTTTTTCTTTTGTTGATGCATAGATTTTCTTTATTTGTTTATGAAGATAGATGATTATTAACTACATATATATATATAAGGCGACAAATCAAACGTTCAGTATTTTATTGCAAATGTTCAGTAAAATTTGTTCAGTATTATATACAAATGTTAAGTAAAAATATCAAATTGTCAGTGTAAAATTTAATGTTCACTAACTATTGCGTTTGTTCAGTTAATTAATTGTTTGCTCAGTATTAAAATTAGAGTTTCAGTAATTAATTCAGTTTACTGTTTCAAAAATACATTTTATCAGTAAAAAGTAGTATTTTTATCAGTACCCAGGTCGAACATACACGGTCGTATACGACGGTAAATCGCCGTATTTGGCCGTATTACATGGCTCCGTATTACGATCGTAAATCTCCGTGCCGTATACGGCGAAATACGGCGCTTTAGGGTCGTTTTTGATCGTATTTCACCGTATTACGACACGGAGATTTACGATCGTAATACGGAGCCATGTAATACGGCGATTTACCGTCGTATACGGCAGAAAACGGCCGTATACGGCCCGTATTTCACCGTATACGGACGTCGTAAAGCTCGTCCTGGGTAAATCACTTTTATTTTTCGATGTTTATGTTGATGTAAATAGAAGAACATTTGTCCACACTGACAGATGATGATGTCATCAATCAAAAGATACTGTTTGGAGAAAAAACAATGATTATGTGTTGCCCAAGTCGAACAGTACGGTATGTATACGGCCGTTTACGGTTACTTTACGACTATTTTACGGGCGAAAGTTTGCCGTAATATCTGGCGCAGTAATAAGGACCGTATGGTCCTGAGAGGTCGGAGCACAAACCGGCGTAAACCCTGAA